CGAGTGATTAGAGATCACACATCCTCATCAACACTACTGCCGACGCCGACGAAGGACTTAGAGGTGATTCTGGAGCTATTAGAGATCGAAGGAATGCGCCGAGTAAGGGAGCGAAGGAGGTATTGATTAAGTGGAAATGACTGCCAGACTATGAAGTAACATGTGAGCTTTACGAGGTGATCCACAAGGAGTTTCTATCTTTCCACCTTGATAACAATGTACTTTTTGGGGAGGGGAATAATGTTACGCCTAGTACGCAGTGGGTCCCTCATTGACTGGTCGATTGCGATCCTGCTGGCCCACAGATGGACCGTCCGAGCCGGCCCTTATTGCGGGGAGAAGGGGAGGGAGCCAGGAGAGGCATAGAGGAAGCAAAGGAAGGGGTGGGATCCACTAGGGCCATAATCACATATTCAAGAAGGAGAAATATAGGGGAGTTTGGGGGAAATTTAGAAGGAAAATTTTCAAATGTTTTATGAGGATTCTATTAAGGGGTAAGCTAGGGTTTGTTTTATTTTTTTAGGTATTATTTTGTGGCTGTTGTGTTTTTCTTCTTTTGGTGTTGTTTCTAGCGACGTCTAGGGTGTGAGAGAGCTGATCCACCTCTTGAAAGTAGATCATCTTTTGTACCTTGCTTGTTTTTCCTTTGATTGTTGTAAGTTCAGTCCTTATTTGTGCATTTCTACCTATGTATTGCAATTTCATCGTGACTTGTTCACTGATTTTGGTGCCTAGGGGATTCAAAGAATTATTTCAGATATTGCTGTAGTATAAAGTGAGTGTGAGTTATATAATGATGAGATTTGTTCTGGAGATAACCTTTTCTATACCAAAAAATCGGTTCATCCTTCGTCGGAGGCAAATGATTAATGCCGCTCAAGTTAAATATTATGTTTGGGTGCTAGTTGAAGGCGATGGTCCCCTTCGGGATACACCATAGTTATCAATCTGAAATGTAGAACAGTCAGTAGCTTGCTATTTTCCATATTTTCATTTTTCCAATTAGATTATTTTAGTTTTTCTAACCTTGAAGCATGCTTTTTTTCTTCTACTTTATGTTCTCCATATTTTCATGTACTTAAGAAAGATTCGGCATTAGTTAAGAAACGAAGATACCAATAGTTACATTTACTTTATTAGTTTTGCCAGTCAGTTTATGAATAACCTCACAATGGAGCACCCCCATTTTGCATACAAGATGCTAGACTATCTTAAAAGGCCACCTAGAAAAGTTGTTTTCTGCAATCCATGCATTACCACGTATATGTAGTTCTTCACTAATTTGGGTCTGTCTGATCATAAATCCACATGGGCTTATTGCTCATTTATATTAGAAATTTTGTTGCCTAGGGAAGCAAATACAGTTCAATGTTGCTCAGGGTGCTATACCTGAATTTAGGAATGGCTCATGTATTTGTGAAGGCATGTGGCTTAAATGGCTTATAAATTTCTGGAACCAGGCATAGTGTGGTATGATAATCAAGCTAGTATTAACAGTGCCAGGAACCTTCTCTCGTGGTCATTTGAACCAACTATCATTGAATAATAAATTAGTAATTGCACATATAACTTGGCACAATAGATGTTTTGTTTCATATTGTAGAAGAATAGGTTTTTTAAGGTATGCAGACAATTTATGTTGCTAGTGAAATGATGCCCATTGCTTTGGTAGAAGTAACGTCACTTAACATATTTCTTTTGTAGAATTGGCAAACAGTTGATGGACAGAAGTCATTGCAATCTTAAAATGCAAAATCATACCCTTTACAGCTAAAAAAGCACCGGAATAAGTTGAAACCCTTTTCAAATGAGTTGCACAATATAGGAAGAATCAATTGTAATTTATGCATGCGAAACGATTGTTATCCAAAAGCATTTATTATGAGATTCAAAATAGACGAATAGTTGGATCAAAAGTTATTAATGTTGAAACTTCATCTTTCAATGAAAGATAAAGGTGCTTGAAATTCTTCAACTAACTAAGTCTAGTTATCTTCTTCAAATCAGGAAAATATTGGCAATTCAAACTTTCAAATGTTTTAGTCCATAAAAATTACAAATTGAACAAGATGATGTTATGAACAGAGTCATAATGTGAGAAATGATTGGATAAGGAGAAAGTATCACTGTTCATTGTTATGTTGTTTCATGTATTGCAAAAATGAATCAAATACTAGCATGATTACTTGAAGTGTTTCAATATCAACCATTTATATTGTTTCATTGAATAATTTGTGCGTTTGTAAACAATTCTCAGAAATTATAATTGTTTTAGATGGTAACAATGTTTGTTTTTTTATTTAGTGATTAATTTATGAAGTTTGATGAATTCTAACAAAATAAAATGAGTAAAACAAGAAATCCAAGTCCATTTTTTGAATAATGTTCTAAAAACTTCTAATTAAAAATAAGTAAATTTAAAATTTTCAAACTTTATGATTAATGAAAGAATATACTGTAATCATGTTTATAATTTCATTTAAGATTTTTTTTTTTGCTTTTTAAGCTGTCGCTCAATTTACATGTATTTTTAAATTGTGTTAGATATCCTACTATTGTAACACTATGTTAGATATCCTACAATTGTAAGATGACACTAATAATTAATTTTACTGCTGTATTATGGCAGAGTAAGATGACATTAATTTTTTTTTCTAGGAAATACATACATACGTACATACATACATATATACGTACGTACGTACATACATACATATATACGTACGTACGTACATACATACATATATACGTACGTACGTACATACATACATATATACGTACGTACGTACATATATACGTTACGTACATACATATATACGTTACGTACATACATATATACGTTACGTACATACATATATACGTTACGTACATACATATATACGTTACGTACATACATATATACGTTACGTACATACATATATACGTTACGTACATACATATATACGTTACGTACATACATATATATACATATATATATATATATATACATATATATATATATACATATATATATATATTCTGAAGATTACGTGATGGACAGACACTAACTCATCATAATTATGATGAATTTATATCAAATAAAAAACTTCGATGGAATAAGAGCTTCGAATGATGTTAAATTCCGTATCTGCTAGCGCTTTGTTGACATATATTAAAATTTCAAGGATCAATGCATGTTTTGCACAAGGGATGTTACTTGGAACTATAGAAGAACTTGTAAATGTTCTATGATATCTTTTGATACCATGAAACAACTTATATCTGATGGGATGAAGGAATCAGATACCAAGCTGGTGAGTCCATACTGGAAAAGAAATAGAAATAGATAATTAAATCTCTAATGCTTATTCTAAAAGTTCAAGGCTTCAAACAGAAAGTTGCACTTAACAATAATAGCGGGTAGGGAAGTTGGTAGATTTGAAGGAAAAAAAAAAGAATCATAAATTGAGCGATGGAATGAATAAGCTAATGCATTGATACAAGTGAGAATGATTTGAGTGATGCTGCAAAGAACCTAGGCGGAAATAAGAGCTGCGAGACACAGCATTTATGGCAGATATTGAGTGGAAAGCACAATATTTGATAAGTAGAATCATGATGCAATTGAAAGGTTTGTGCTATGGTTGTAGTTTTCGAGCTCAGTTTTAGTAGTATTAGAATTAATTAAGTAGTATTTCTCCTCATATGTTAAGCCATTGTCGGGTAACACTCCTGAATTTCATGTGAATTGATAGTGTAATTATTTATCAAAATTCAACGAGTTGGTAAAATAACTGCAAATATGTAGGGATAATTTTGCAGTTGGTTTCAGGTAAATTTAATATTTTTTCTTTGATATTTGTTATTGTCATTAGCATTGAAGCCATTATTTTGCAGAGTAGTATGTATCTTGCATTTCTGACGTGGGAGGTTACCACAAAAAAAACTTAGCACGGTACTGTAGCTGTTGTAGCACTGTGGACGCGTTAGTGTGGCCGTTACAGTACCACAAAGATTTATAATACGGGAAACATGCCGAAAAAATCTCCTTTTTTTTCTTATGTTTTTTTTTTCCTATTATCCTTAATTCATTTATAGTCCTTTCCTATATATGTGTTGTATTCGGGTTTAGAAGTCAATTTTTGGTGTGTTTTGTTTCAAAACAACCGCCATAGTCTCTTCTTTCCTTCGAGGGCTGCATCCTAGGGTTTGAAGTGGTGCTTTGGTTATATCTTGGTTTACAGGTGGTGATTTATCCTTCCCCTATTGCACTTTGTCGCTCCACATCGTCCTCCTCTGCTGCAGTTGCCCCAAGGACAGTAGCTTTTGATGTTTTTCATTGCAATTTTCCCATTCCCACCCTTTTTGCTCGCTGTTCCTTTCCCGGACAGCTGTCCATTGCTGCCCTGTATCCTGCTGTTTTCCTACCGTCTCCTGGCTGTCCCAACCTTTACTGCTGCACTTCGCCGCTCTGCTTGCTACCTCACCTACTGCTTTTGCTGTCCCAGTACTCTGCTTCATTGCCAGTGTGATTCCAGGCCCTCCTTTGGCTGTCCCAACCACCTACAACCCCATTTCAGCCATCTGCTTTTGTTTCCCAACCACCTAGCGGACCTCCACCACCTATGGGTCGAGCCCTAGCGTGAGTTCATGTCGTGTTTGTTGTAATTTTCCTTTCTAGTGTGCTGATTGTAACCGACTATTTATTTTTCAAAATAATATATATTTTCCTACCGTGATTTGGTTAGCTCTAGTATCGATTTCTTACACAACTGGTTGAACTAGCATTTAGAATTAGTTTTGTGGCGCTAAATTTGTTTATACACTTTTTCAGTGAAGTTAGTATTTATCTACCATGCAATCTTTATAATATTTTTTTGTGATTTATGATGAGAAGAATCTATATGGTGCTTTCAAGAATTCCATGGCCAAGTTTATGGAGGATTGACTAGTTAAAGTTTGGAGCTTCCATTTTGTTTATGAAATTAAACTAGAACCTATTTTTGGTTGTGAAAATCTAGGAGTGAAGAAGGATGTGATGAAGGACCTGCCACCAAAAAAAGAGCTCATTTTGCGTGTTGATTTGAGTGCTAAACAAAAGGAGTATTACAAAGCCATTCTTACTCGAAATTACCAGATTCTTGCTCGCCGTGGTGGTCCGCAGGTTAAATTTAACTTGAAGAAAACCTTTTTTTTATTTATTTATCAGTAACCGGAAATTTGGATTTTCCAGATATCCCTTATTAATGTTGTGATGGAACTCCGCAAGCTCTGTTGTCATGTATACATGCTAGAGGGGGTGGAGCCAGATACAGAACCGTTGAATGCTGATGAAGGTTTAAAGTATGTTTTAGTGTCATTATTTTTAATTACCCTTAATCACTATCTATGAACTACTGAAGTTAGCCATGCTTTACAATGAGATATTCAGTGTGACTCATGTGCTGGAATTGGCTATTCGATAATGGTGGGATTGGCTATTCTACAATATGAGTTGCGTTCAATCATTACATGGTTCATACAATTCAACATGTAATTTACTTGACAACGCAATATTTAATTTTCGTTGTTTAATTGTTCTTTGTTAGAGTTCAGGTTATGCAATCAAACAAATGCCAATCTCATTGTCCCTTTTTTTTTTTGGGAACTTTTCATTCAATCTATTTTCAGATATTGCATGGTCTTTTTAAAAACGGTATTGCTTTTTTTTTTTTTTTTTTGAAGATAGAGAGTTTTGCTCCATGCTTTTGCTGGAAGATGAATGTGTTTTTTATGCACCTAAAAATTCAATCATTTTTTTATTTGAATATGGATGTATGGGTATTTACATGCGTGTCTTCATTCATTAAAATTCATAGTTCTACATTTGGTCAGCATTACAGCCTCTATATTTGTTTTTAGGAAGATTTACATACATTACACCAAATCCCTTTGAATTTACATATCTAACACCTAAACTTCACTTTTTACATAAACGACATCTTACCTATGCATGAAAAGGTGTAATTCGCTTTTCAAAAGTTAAAAATGGTGGTGTTTTTGATGTGATATGAAAGATTTGGATGGCATAAATTTGAAAAAGTAAAATTTTGGTGTTAGATATGTAAATACATAGAAATTGGGTTGTATGTTTGTAAATGCTCCTTTTTTGTCTTGCATATTATATATATATATATATATATATATATATTCCCTGGTATGATCTTTGGCTTTTCGGAAGTTCTTCTCTCACTCGTCAATGATTTTTTCGTTCGTTTTCCGCAATCTTCGACAACGACGTAGGGATTCTGCGGCCTCGTTCGCGCCAGCTTCTGCGTCGAGCGTCGACCTCGTGGAGCTGCAAGTTCCGCGGCTCGTCTTTCTGCATCGACGTCCAGTTTCCTGCATCTTCTCTTCATTTTCGACGCTTCTTCTGTTTGTGTCTGCGCTAATGCTCCTCTCCGTCCCAATCTTCAGCTTTGTTTCTGCGTCTCTCTCCAGCCCGATGCAAGCTTCTCGCTGCAGGTGGCAGTTGATTGTTCTAATGACACTTCCTTCTTTTGCTGAACCCAAAGGGTTCATTTGCCCACGTGGTGGGAAACCCTCAGGTAGTGTCCGCTGTGGTATTACCCTCAAGCTATTAGGAATGTCGCGTGACACAGATGATTGTCCTTTTGTTAAGAAGGGAAGTAGGAAATGTGGAAAAACAATAAATTTTTTCTCTGACTCAAAAAGTTCTACCATGACAGAAAAATTCAAGTTGCCCTCATTGGAAAATTTCAGTGGGGACACCCACCTATGGAGGGTATCAGAAAGAACGTCGATGAGCATGTGTGCAAGTGGAGAGTGAGACTTATGGATGAGACACATGTGTTGATTCAACTAACAATGACTGAAGACTACACCAGAATTTTCTCCAAGAAATATCTTAATATCGCAGGAAAAACTATGAAGTTATTCAAGTGGTCTCCTGATTTTGACCCTAATCATGAAACTCCCACTGTACCGGTATGGTTTAGTCTACCTGGTCTCAAGCTGCTTTTTTTTCACCATCAGGTTCTCTACTCTATTGAGGCTATCTTAGGGGATCATTTGAAACTAGGTCTACGTACTTTCAACATAATCAGATCCTCGGTGACCAGAATACTAGTGGAAAAGGTAGATCTACGTACATTCAACCAAACATGATAAAAGAAAACCAGCTGAGATGCTCATGGGTAGGGGCAGCAACCCTCACAACCAACCAGTAGAATAAGTCAACAGGTAGAGAGCAGAAAAAACACAGCCAAGCTCCCCATATATCTCACGGTTTGGGACAAGGGAGAGGACAGAAGCTCACGGGTAGGGGCAATAAAAAGCACAGCTAAGCTCTCCCTGTAATCTCACGGTTTGGGACAAGAAAGAGGACAAGCTCACAGGTAGGGGCAAGAAAAAGCACAGTTACGCTCTCCAAAATAGCACATTCAGCCAAATATTCATCACTCCGACAACTGGAAACATTTAAACAGAATAGAAGGATACTACAAGAAATGCTCACAGTCAGGAACATCCAGAGAAGCCACTAATTCCTATCCAAGTAGGGGTAGCAGTCAAAAGGGCAAACCGGGCCCAGTATAAGAGAAATCACAATTAGAGGCTATCAGATAGGGGTAGCCAGAGAAAACACCAAACCAAACCAACAATTTCCAATTCACGGGTAAGGTCAGCCAAAGAGGAAAAGCCACCAGCCAACCATGTAAAAGGAGTCACGGGAGAAGGCTTACGACCAGGGATAGTAAAGGGAAACCACCAACCATTCAAGATATAAATTCCCTAACCCAACAGGGAAGCTCCCAACCGAAATGTTCAAGGCCCAGAAAAGCAACATAGGACCACAAAACAAACCATATATTGTGCTGAAAACAACACCTAACCAAGCCAAAACAAAACTAAGCCCGAAACATTTTTCAACTCAACATAGGGCCAACCCGAAAGTAATCAACCCAAAAGTAAGGTCTAACCCAACAAATGACCAAAACCCAGCCATCACAAGGCACAAATCGAGGCCAACACAGGGGCAAAACTAAACTATTTCAAAGCAAAACCGAGCCCAACACAGAGGTAAAACCGAGCCCAGCAAGAAGGATAAAACAAGGAGCTGTAGAGGGTTAACCGAGCCTAGCAGGAAATGGCAAACATAAATAGAGTTCCAGCCAAAATCGAGTCCAGCAAGTGGAAGAAAATAAAAAACAAGTTCAGCTCTACTAAACCCAACAAAAGGGGGCAAAAATAGATAAACATCCAAGCCAAACTGAGCCCAAATCTTAGACAAAGCCAAGCCCAACATAAGAGCTAAAGAAAAGAGTACAATCTAAGCTAAACCGAGCCCAACAAAGGGGCAGAAACAATATAGAACTTTCAGCTAAAATCCAATTCAGAAGGAGCCAAAACCGAGCCCAACAAAGGGGCAGAAACAGTACAAAACTTCCAGCTAAAATCCAACCTAGAAGGAGCCAGAACCGAGCCCACCAAATGGGGCAAATAAAGCCATCAAAGTCAAATCTCATAAAGCCTTATGTCTCAAAATATTACACCCAGCATATGTTTCAATAGTAACAGGTAACAGGAAACAATAAGTATAAATGAATCCCTAAAGCCAACATGTCTCAACGTTAACATTTACTTGAAGAGGAATAATGATAATAAAGAGCATTAATATTTCATTTCTAGCACATATTCCAGATAAGCAAATGTCATCACATTGGCAACAACAGCAGTTTTCCAAAATTTCCTTTATCATGCATTTTGAATCAGAAAGTAAGAGAAGGCAATCATATTACACTTCATCTTATTGATTCAAGAAGCTTTCCATGATTAGATCTAAAAAAATAGGCTTAAACTTTTACTTTCACATGCTTTAAGAGAAGAAATATTTTCAGGTGCAAATCCGAGTGATGCAAATTAGAGGAAAGAAGAGAAATACCTCTTAATGCAGACTCAAAGTAAAACTGTAGAACAAATTTAAGCAAATACCTTTTATAGAAACTCTCTTTCCAAAAGCTTCGAGAAACAACAACCAATGAATACCTCAAACTTCTTTTCCTCTCAAAATTTTCAACAACCCTTGGTAGTCAAACACACAACCAAGCTAGAATATGGAACCGGCAAGCAAGAGTACCGAGCAACCCAGAAGGAATGCCAACTGAACAGGAAGTTTACGTCAAACCAAAATTTCAACAACTCCTCCATCCTCCAACCTTAAAGACCTCCCCAAGGTGGTTTTTTAGGCAAAAGAAAGAGGATCAGCCACCTACCAGCTTCACTGGTGGTCGAATCAGGTAAAGGGAGAGGAGAATTACATTTAGTGCGGAGGAAATACAACCTCAAGAAAAAGAAGGTCGGACATCAGGTAAAAGGAGAGGAGAAACGAATGATAGAGGAGACGCGAGAGCTAGTGCTTTGATCGAGCCACAGGATTGAGTGGGGAGGGAGGTTAGCGTGGTTTAGGTGAAATAAGGTTTATTATTAAAATTAGTATTATAAGTAATAATATAAATATAAAAATAATTAATATTTAAAAAAAAAATAAAAATTTGATAAATACATTTATATTCGTTTGATATATACATTTTTATTCGTGCGTCACAAGATAACAAAATGGATGTTCTTTTTAGGTAATTCTGACATTCCGGACACGTTGGCGTGGTCCGTTTTGTTGTCTGAGGGTGGTTTGACGTTGTCTGAGGTTGTTTTGACGAATTTATTGATTTGCGTGCAATTTTTTCGTTTGCGGAATTATAGCAATATGAGTGTTTTTCCTAGCTAAAATTGATGTCCCGGACGCGTTGGCGCAATCCATTTCATCATTAGAGGTCATCCAGAGAAGTTCACATTTTGAACCATTCTTTAAACTCAATTCTAGTCCGATCTTATGCAATTTAGTGAATTTTGTGCATTTTGTGTGTGCGCGTGATGATGAAGTCCTGAAGAGGTTTTCCTAGGGCTTGAGATCCTATTAGAAACTTTTCATTGAGTCTTCACATGATAGTCTTTAACCACTCAACCAAACGACGATGGTTTTGAGATCATCAATGCGAGACATCACAAGAGAAATAAGAAGTGGCTGGAATTTCTAGGGGGATGGATTCTAATACTAGTTTTCTAAGATAGTCAATATGAATCCCTAGAACTAGTTCCTAGGATCCTAAGGAAAATAGTAATGACCTCAAAATGAGGTCAACAATAGCTTCATTTGTTTACCAGCAATGTTAAAATATTTTTTTGGAGAAAATACGAGTGTAGTCCTCAAGGCACGGTTAATTGAATCAATATATGTCTCCCATCCATGAGCTCCACTTTCCACTTTTCTGCTAATTTAAGGTCATCAAACTTTTCCTGATAACTTCCATAGCTGGGCGTCACCACTAAAATTTTCTAATGAGAACAAATTTGAATTTGTCAGTCAGGATTTAAATTTCTACATCAGGTAAAAAAAGTGCTGTCTTCCCACTCTTCCTGCTTGCATTCTTAATTAAGGGGCAGTCGCCTGTACCATCACGATTCTCCTTATAAATTGAGGGGAAGGCAATCGCCATCTCCCCTTGAGGATTACCCACAACGTGGGCAAAAGAGGTTTTGGCGGGTTCAACCGAAGAAGGAGGAAGATCCATCATAGCAAGTCACAACAAGCAGAAGAGCTGCAAGTCGGACAGAAGAGGTGGGGGTGCAAGTCGGACTCGGGGGCGAAGCTGTGCAGAAGAGAGGGTAACCGCAGGTGGCGTCGGTGTCGAGTCGTGATCGAAGGAGTCGAAGAGGAAGGCGCTGCTGCTCTTTAGAAGAGCTCTCATGCAAGGAAGACGATGTGCGAATCACGTTCAGAGGGAAGAAGCTTTTTCTTGCGCTGGGCTTTTTCTCGCGCGAATCATGTTTGATGTTGCGGTCGATTCCTGTGTGGAGTTTCTTGTTCCTATCCGACGTCGTTCACGGACTCAGTCGAGCCCCTTCCTCATATATATATATATATATATATATATTGAAACTAGAGCTGATATTATTTGGGAGTTATTGCTCTCATATTCATCTAAATATACAACTACCTATCCAATGGTCTTTCGTCAAAATAAGGGAAATAAAATCACCATTCCCGTAAAAAAGTAGAGCCAGTGCTTTGTTGGGAACCAAAATAAGATATTCTTATTTGTATCTCGCATATTTCCTTAAGCTATTTTTTTTGAGGTGATATAGCTTTTTAAAATATTTTGCACATTCATTTTTATTATTTGGCAGCTTCTCACGTTCTCTGATATTAATGTTTTGCAAGACCAGTGATCTTTCAATCTTTTAGTACAACCAATCATTTTTTTGTCACAAATTTTACATTTAAATATATATAATCTTTTTTTTTTTGCACTTTGTTCTATTATTTCATCTGGAGTATCTAATTTTTAAATTTTTATTTTTTTAAGCGTCACCAACCTTTGTAGATAACTAAAAAAACCCCAAAATGACAACAAGAAAACGTTAAAACGAATAAAATTCAGTTAAAAAGAGAATGAAAAAAAAAACAACTAGTACAAAAAGGGAAAGAAAAATCTGTTTAAACAAAAAAAAAGAGGAAAATAGTTAAAAAATAAAATTGAAATGAAAAGCTGTAAGAGAACTAAAATCTACTTAAAAGAAAATAAAAAGAAAAATAAAATAGAAAAAAAAATAGTTAGAAGTAAAGAAATGGCTTTTGGAAAATGTAAAATATTAGTTAATTAAAAACCCTTTTAAGAAAACAAATCCAATTTAAAGGAAATTAAGCAAAAAATCATTGTTTACCTCTCAACTCATAATCTTGTTAGTTGGTGCTTTTATGCACGCTTATGTGCACTCAAGTTCACATGCAGTTGCATTTGTTGATTTCTACCATGGTGGTTGTATGCCACACGTGGTGCTCGATTTCTTTTTGATGCTTTTACCACCAATGCAGGACCGGTGAGCTAAACCATCAATTATATGTTATTTGAGGCGTTCACCTCATATGCCTCAAGGAAGGTGCCTCAAATTAAAATAGTGAGCTTTGCACAAATAAAATCTTCTAATATTATTGGAAAATCTAGTGTTAACTAAGTGTGATGAGTCTTAAATTGGAAACTAGATGAGAAACAAATTTTGAAGTTCTGGGTTAGTGTTTAAAATGATGAAATGCCTTTAAACTACTTTGCAATTAAAGAATATATTTAAGGCTTGGCAAGTTCAATAAAAAAAATAATATTCTATCTTGGTCTGAGCATTGATGATGATAAAGCTATTTATACCTAAGTTGCCTATGATATAAATAATAATTTTAGATTAATGTTTAGTGAGATAGGTCCTTAGGAAAAGTTTAGATTGAGAAATGAATATATAAGGGAGATATATGACTGGCACCTACTGAGGAGAAGATGGTAAAAAAATAATATTAGTTGATTTAGGCATGCATAAAAGAGGGTCGAAGATGGCCCAAAAAAATGATAATTAAGGATGTGTAAAGATTAGAAACTCGAAGGTAGGCCAAAGATCACATGACGAGAAAATTTGAGGAAAAAAATAAGTCAACACATCATACATTGCTCAAAATGTATTATTTGTGAGCATTATTTCTTAAAGTAGGGAAGAGTTTTGATAGTACTGATAATGATGTGATGTATGAATGGCATAGGAAAGTTAACTCGTTTAGACATGCATGGTGGTATAACTAGATAACTGAATTACATAATCTGTAATTGTTTTTTCGGGTTGGATCTCATAGATGGCTGTTCATTTTTGGAGTTAATTGACTCAAAATTTGATAGAATATTTATTAAGGGAATAAGAAGTTGTTCAATATCATTAGGATATCATTGTCCGTTGCCAAACTTGCTTGCTAGATATTGGCCATTTAATTGTTTTTACTTGATTTTCATGCTTTATATGGTTATGCCATGGTATTTGAATTTAAGGCTGGCGTCATCCGTGTCATTTTTATCTGAGAATGATAATACCTAATAAAGTATTGAATATCATTACATTTTTTTTTCACTTAACCTAGATGACTAGCATTTGTTATAATGATATACGGTCTATGAAGCGAAGTCAAAGTCTTGATTTGCTTATTTGTTGAACACCATGCTTAGAAGTTGTTGTACTATTTAACATTACCTATTCAGTTCAGTTCAAGTTTGTTCTATCATATATTAGATTGAATTTTCTTTAACTGTTCTTCTATATGGTCTCATATTTCATAAAATTTTTGTTTTGTTTTCTTTGCAGGCAACTTTTGGATTCCTCTGGGAAGATGCAGTTGCTGGATAAGATGATGATGAAACTCAAAGAGCAGGGACACAGGGTTCTTATATATTCACAGTTTCAGCATATGCTAGATTTGTTGGAGGACTACTTGAGTTACAAGGTGAGTTTATACTAATATGGCGTTTATTTTTGTTCTGAAATTTGATTGTTTTTGAACTTCAAACTGTTGACTTATGTATTCTTTTGTAACTGTGGTGACTTAATGTTCTTTACTACAAGAAATGGAGCTATGAAAGGATAGATGGAAAGATTGGTGGAGCAGAAAGACAGATACGCATAGACAGATTCAATGCCAAAAATTCTACTAGATTTTGTTTTCTTCTTTCTACTAGAGCTGGTGGACTCGGTATAAATCTTGCAACTGCTGACACTGTTATTATTTATGATAGGTATTTTTTTTGGGAATTTGATATCTATGGTGCATGCATTTTATCGTGGTGTTAAAACATGAGCATTATATGCCCATGATTTGCAGTGATTGGAATCCTCATGCTGATTTGCAAGCAATGGCTAGAGCACATCGTTTGGGGCAAACTAATAAGGTTTTGCTTGCTCTCTAGTTTTTCATTCCTAACAACATAAATTTTGTAAATAATATTATTTTAAACTAGTTTCCTTAGGTAATGATTTACCGGCTTATCACTCGAGGGACCATTGAAGAAAAGATGATGCAAATGACAAAGAAAAAGATGATTTTAGAACATCTTGTTGTTGGTCGACTCAAGACACAAACTGTTAATCAGGTATGCTCAACTATGCTGGTGTTCATATTTTTAATATCTGATTGAATTTAAAAAAAAAAAATTTTTTCCTGGTAAAGTGATGCAACAAGATGCTCCTATTTCATTTGCAATGAGATCTTCATAACTTTTTCCTCTTGCATATATATCTTTAAGAGCTTTCACCATTTTATCTTTGCCTAAAGTTCTTGATGACCTTGATATTAGTTAAGTTAATACATACCTTATTTTGGGAGTTCAAACATTGAATGCAATTCATCATTGGCTTTTCATCAAAACTCCATCGAATTTCGATTTGCATTTTGTATTTTTAAACATTTAAACAAAGTAAGAATGTTTATGAACATGCATGTCATGCTTTATCATATGTATGTAATGTTTAGACAACCAATGCATTTGGAGGTTAATGTAGAAAAAAAAAAAGGTGTGTCCATTACATGAATTTTGACAAATTCAGGTGATGCTATAAACTATTCCAACTTCCTCCTTGCATTATATTTAAACTTTTTTTTGTTACTCGAAAGCTCCAACTCCATGCAACCATGGTGTCAACTTAACTTTACTTCAACCTGGAAGGAGGCGCTATTGATCTCTCTTTGATGCCGCCTTTGGATCATATAACTCCCTTTCAATTTTGAATTTGGTTTTGTGTGGTCTCTCTTTCTTCAAAGTGAGGGGTTTTCATGACTACCTTTAATTGCTTATTGACTATAGCTCATCAGCCCACTTCCTTCAAGAGTTCGAATATTTTAACCGCTTTCATTTGTTCGCTAATCTTGGGTTATTTAATCCATCCAATAGACATCTCCTGATTCTCTTCTCTTTACTACAGTGGACATTCTACACTAAATATTTGATATAGTACAGATGACTTCTAATTTTGAAGGTGTCCCATTATAATTCCGGTTTATGAGCAGAAATTTTATTCCTAGTATAGGCTCCTGATTTTTCCTTTTTTAAGTTTTCCATGTAAAAAATTCTGTATTTTCTATATGTTTTTATTTTTTGACTGTGTGCGGATTACATTTTGAGGTAAGGATATAAAAAATACTGCAGCACAGCAAAGTTCATCTGATGTTCTAAATTCAGGGGATATGGAGGAAATTTTCTTCTATTGAAACCCTTGTTCCATCAGTGGTTGATTAGTGATTTTAACTTATGCATTAATCATGAGAATAGAGTAAAATGCCGATTGAAGTGAATTTCTGTTGCTGATTTATATTCTCCTGGTAGCTTTTCCATGTTTTAAAAACTTTTTTTTTTCTTTTAATTTTTGCAGTTCTAATGCATATCATATTAATAAATTTGTGAATAAACAGTCGTAACCTTTAATCAGGCTATTCAAAGCATGAAATGATCTCTTTTTCTTTAGTGTAAGAGCACAAAACAGAGCGCTCACACTTAATGCATAATTTAACGTGCACAAACGGAATATGTATGCATGATACTGACGTTGTTGGCTAAAGATAAACTCTAATTGTAATTATAGGAGTTTTTCACATAAATTAGGACAATCAAATATTTTATTTCAATGGCACCAAATACCACAAGATAAGCACCTACAATTTGAGAGGTAGATGATCTTTTTCAAACCCTAACCCTAACAACTACTATTCAAGATGTGGGCAATCTTTCCCAAACTCTAATTTTATGTCTTGAGTCAACAATTGCATCACATAATTTAACCCTAAGCATAATAAGCCCTACTTATACCAAACAATAATAACTAATAAAAGACTAAATTGCCCTTATGCGTCGGTCTAATATTACTCCCCTCCCAAAAAGGCAATCCTTAGGATGGAAAAAAGTAAATTGTTGTTCTGTGGCTTTCACTCATAAACTGATCTGGGTCTGGCTCTCGCAGTTAACACTTATTGAAATAATTGTTGAATTGTTCGCCCTACATAAGGACTTTGCCTATTTTATACCTTGAAGCATCCGTCTCTGTAATGAAAGGTTAGCTGAAATCTAGTAATGCTAGCATTGTTACACTCGTCAAGGGGCCTTCTTCCACTTCTAAAAAATTTGAGTCATCGTTTTACCTCACTGAAAGTTATCCTATTTTCGTTTCTCCATCAACGGTTTCACAATCGACTTGCAACCTTTCACTAACTTCTGATAGTATTTTGTAAGTCCCAAAAATCTTCTCAACGCCTTCCAGGTCTTAGGTAGTGACCACTCCAATATAGCCGCCACCGTAGATGTATCTGCTAACACAAATGTCTTGCATAAACTCGAGTCATCGCGAATCACCACTGTTTTACCTCCTTCCTGAACTCAATGCTCAAGAGTTTCGAATTCATCTGTGTCCTCTGAGGATTGCAATCATTTCATACCCAATATCATGTCAATTCTCCTTAAATGTAAGGCAAGAAATTCATCAATCATTTAAATACTCTGTAGTCTCAATTTATAAAATCCCCTTCTCTTTTCCACTTGTCTAGTTCCCATCATGACTCCCTAACATCCCGTGTCAATCATCTTAGGCTCCAATTACTTCACTACTTTGAGTAGAGATGAAGTTGTGGGTGTCCTCACTATTTATCACACAACTACATCCTGCTCTCCTTTCTATCCCCAAGGTTCATATTTTCCCTTTGGATCTTTAGGATGGGGCCGGTATGACGACACCGTCAAAGTCATACTACACACAGACTTACCCCGCATTTGGATACTAGTTTGATACACTTTTCGTTAGATGGTGTGCTAGGTTAGTATTTAGGGTGCTAGGTAGTCTTTTTGATGCCTGACTATTGTTCTCAATTGGATTGATTGCCCTAGCCAGACATGTTTTTTTTTGCATTATGCTTGTGGTGTGACTGCATATTGCATATGTATGGTAGTGTGTTAGGACACTTTTCTGCAAGAAGTCATGCCTATTTATATGCACACACACAGGTACCGCTATGGGGGGAGCAAGTAATCATTTCTGACTATTTTTCTTGCAGGTGCTATTAGCTCTCCCACTTTTAAGGCATAACTCATGATACATTATTTGCATGTGAGTTTTCTCGTTGACACTTGTTTTCATGCAGAATTGAGTCATTTTCTTTTCTCTATCTACTTTTAGAGTCTAGGAAAATCCTGTAGCATAAATAAGAATACGGGCATGAGTTTTGAGGCGTTTAGCGCGGAAACCACGTGGATGAGACCAAGAGCAGATCCTCGTGCCCCGTATCTTAATTCTACATTTTATATTGATGTGTAGAATTAGGACCGGGCATGTATATTCGAAATCCGACCGCATTTTTTTTCTGGGATATGTTGCCGACCCAACGACACCGACCTATTTATTTTTTTGATTTGACTTGTTTTGCTTTTTGCGTTAAAAAAAATTATGAGTCACTGAGAAGAAGCTTGAGGTGAGCATAAAATTAAAAATTGTTGTTTGAATTCAGACATTTAAAATCTTTAAATTATGCTCTACCTGATATAATAATTCTCAACAAAACGTGGGGAAAAAAAGAAAAAAAATTATGTGAGAAGTTTGATCCAGAAATCAAAGCAAAAAGAAAAGTCTCCCTAAGAAGAAGCTTGAGGTGGACGTAATAAAAAATTGGTGTCCGAGTTTCCCCTTGTCCGAGTTTCCCCTAATTCCCCTAATTAATGAGACTTAAAATGCTCTTAAGAAATTGCTCATGATATTATATTCAAGAAGAAGTTCAACGATCTCAAGTTTTTTGGTCGGCTATTAATTGACTCAGAAATATTTTTGAACAATGAAAAATGTTTTAATCACATGAGTATAAATTCTGAAATCTGCTTACACTCAGAAAGAAAGAATTAAAGAAATGACGATGATATTAACAGTTAATGGAAATTCAATCCTGAAGTCATATCCTTCAGTGCCTCTTCAGTGCCCAATAAGTACAACTCCAATGCCAATTCGAAGAACGTCAGAGTGATAAATACAACTCCAATGCCAATTCGAAGAACGTCAGAGTGATTTCTCAAAGACAATTTGAACAGCATTTACAAAATCAATGTCAAAGCAAACAACTACTACAAACAAAGTTACGAAGTTGCGGCTTCTTCAGCTGTTGTGTCCTTAGAGATAACACTTCTTTATAGGTACTTGTAAGAATATAATTTTAATAGCACCTTAAAGAGTAGATTATTCTCTAACACTTGTCTTTAGTCAGTAGACGATACTTCAAGAAGCACCGTGCCTCGTGTTCAAAGACAAAAACTCGTTCTTAGAAGCATGAATGTCGCGCTTGTCTAAAACTGAGTCCAAATCCAAAAACAAATGCAACAAAATAAAACTCAGGACCAAACAAAATAAAGTCAACATTGAAACAAAGCATTGCATCTCATAAATTTTTATAAATCTCTTCACAAAATTTTACAAATCTTTTCTCACCAATATCAATCTTCACATGCCACATATCTATGAACCTAATGCCACAAATTTTCTATACTATGTCCACTTTGTTCTCAGGGTCAGCCCCGAGATGATATATTTTCCCTTCACGTGCCACATATTATTGCAAAAAGCAGGCATTAGAGTTGCTATCCCGATCGAGTTTAAAGTAACTTCAGTCACGTCCAAGTGAGCCACAATTTTCTCTGTTTTTGCATTGCCTGTCTCCTTGTCACACTCTGAGAAACTATAATGCCTGATTTTTGCATGTGTGTTGGTGCAAACTTCTTGTCACACTTGCTTCTCTTAAATTTCCGACTCTGTAGAACATTTGTGTGTTGTCCTCGGTTGTGGCTCATTTTTCTTGTCCCGCGAAGCCTTGCACTAGACTTTTGCTGTTTTAGCTTTTGATATCATCATGGTTCTAGCAGACCAGTTTGATTTTTCACCTGTGCTGCTTTTACTAACCAATTCCATTGCAATTTTATGTTCAATCTGCTATGTTATTTTTTCCTCCAAAGCATCCGATTTTTTGGTACAATTACTCTTAGAAGGGTTTTAGATCTCTCACATTGAAATTCCTTCGGGTGGCTTTCTAAGTAGTCTGAATTGCGACTGTACAGGAGATTGTTAGCCGTGTTCTCGTTTTGGCTTCCCAGCTAACTTGAATTGCGATAGGAACGCCAAATCATGTCATCGGCTTCCCATATAACGAGGTTTGGTCGCTGGGGCACGTCGTGACACACCGCGATACATTGTGATCCTGTCTGTCTTCCGGTGACTATATCGACACAACATTTCTATGTGATCCCGATTGCTAGGTTGGCAAGAAACTGTTGTATGGTCATGATCACATCGTCTGCTTCCCAACTAGCCTCCTTGTATGTCGCGGTCGCTGAGTGCAATACTACTCTCTGACTTCATTCCTAGAAATCGAAGGTTTTGATAATTTAGGACAACCAATTTTTTATTTCAATAGCAACAAGCAACACAACTCCAAAGCATAACGATAAGAACCTACAATTCGAGAGGTAGCCGATATCTCCCATATCCTATTCCTAACACCTACGTTTGGAGAGGCAGGCGATCTCTCCCATACCCTAATCCTAAGACTCGAGACAAAATTTTCATAGTATAACCCTAAGCATAATATGCCCTATTTATGCCACATAATAATAAATAATAAAAGACTAAATTGCCCTTAGGTGCCAGTCTCACAACTACCTATGTAACATAACAAATAAATTTATGAAGGCAATATCGATAACAAAACTTATACATTCCAAACATCTGATTGCATTACAAAAACAAGTCCAAAACAGATTGATTGGAAGGAAGTTAGGTGTAGTGAAGAACTTGGTAATTTGGGTTTCCATTCCGATTGGAATTTGGATCACATTTTATATACATCAAGCGAACAGGCTAGTGGGTTGAACGGCTTTTACAATTAAACTTTGAAAAACGCCTTTGTATGTTTTGTAAATCATTCTGGAGTGCTCTGAATCCCACTTTGCACTTTTTGCTGTTTGTCGCAAATGAAGCGCAATAGGGGGTTTGTGTCCTGCTTTACACGGGTAACATTTTTTTTAAATTGCTCTTACTGCACTGCCTGTGATGCCAAGTAGAATCCATGTAAAGATTGGAATTTCTTTTTTACCTTTTGCTATTGATTAAAGGAGTTCCATATATGATAATTGCTTCGTTGATTTTACCTGAGTCGTTTGTCTTAAATATCTGCAGTAGCAGTATCTTCAGGCTTTATAGTATCATTTTTTTTGCTGCTGTATATTCTTGTACATTAATGCAGAAGTTTTCGCAGGGAGAGTTAGATGACATCATAAGATACGGGTCAAAGGAGCTTTTTGCTGATGAGGGTGATGAACCAGGAAAAACTCGCCAAATTCACTACGATGATGGTGCAATTGAAAGGTTGGTCCTCTACAAACTTTATTTGCTTGATTAGAGCGATATGAATTTTCCCTTAATTTTCATTATTTTTCATGACTTTTTTTTGATAGGTTGCTTAATCGCGATGAAATTGATGTTGATGAGGCTTCGGTTGATGATGAAGATGATGGCTTGCTAAAAGCTTTCAAGGTGTTAACTTCACTATACTCTGTCATATGACAATTTTGTTTGGTAGTGTGACCTATTTACAGTACTGTTATTGTTTGGTTCAAATATTATTTATGTAGTTTTTAAGTGTTATTGATAGAACTTCCTCATTTTAAATTTTTTAGCCTTCAGTTTGAAGTTGGGGCTGTGGCATTATTTTCTTCTTGGCCTTCTTGAAAGTGGAAGCCTTGAATTTCAGTCTCACTTCATAGTATGTTGGCAGAAAAGGTTAGGTGCAAGATATTTACACGGGACTGACGTGTGAATATAGGATTCACCTTTCGTATATCTTTGTGATAGTTAATTGTACTTTTAACATATATGCTGAGGGGCCATTGCATCAAGAAGTGATGGCGACACTGCTAGAAAAGAAAAATTAGAGGTCAAAATTCATTGTTTGCTATAAAAGATCACCCAAGAATTCATATAAAATTAAAAAAATAAAGAAGGAATTCATGGACGTATCAAACAATGAAATAGCTAGGAGTTTTTTTGTGTTTCTTAATTATAATTTTTTATTTTCTGTACCCTTTTTCATATAATTTTGTGTATACTCGTTGAAAGAACGAACAATCTAAATTTTACTACTTGTCTCTTCTTGCAATGCTCTATGGCGCTGAATGTTGGCCTTTAAAAGAGAAGCATAATAATAAGTTAAGTGTTGCCGAGATGAGAATGATTAGGTGGATGAGTGGCTTTACACTTAGAGACAAAATGCGGAATGAATATATTCGTGATAGGGTTGGTGTAGCTCCTGTGACAGACAAAATTAGAGAAAGTCGTCTTAGATGGTTTGGTCACATTAAACGTCGACCATCTGATGATCCGATTAGGAGAGTAGATGTTTTAGATTCGACTTGTGTTAAGAAAGGCAGAGGTAGACCTAGGAAGACTTGGGCTTATTGTATTAAAAATGATCTTAATTTACTAGAACTAAATGAAAATATGACACTAAATAGGGTGCAAAGGAGAAAAAGGATTCATGTAGCCGACCCCACGTAGTGGGATTAAGGCTTTGTTGTTGTTGTTGTGTTGTTGTCTCTTCTTTTGTATATGGTATCAAGGCAATGTTAGAGTTTTATTTTCTAACATCTTTCATTCTCACTTCACTATCTCGACTTTCTTTAGTTTCTCCTCCCATTAGTCAAACTTCATGAATGATGAAATGCAAACTAATGGTGAGCTCTAGGGCTACATGCCCATATCGATTAGATGGAATAAATTACATTTAGTGATATCAAATTTTAAAAATCTTCTTAGAAGGAAAGAAAAAATCCATCATCTTATTGATTCTCTTCCAAGGCAGAAAGACTGAAAATTTGTGCTACGGGATAAAGCAAATTTAATGATCTTGGTTTTAGAAGTAGGCTATACATGTTTTTCACAACCACAAATGACTTTTAGGATGATGTAAATAAATAAACTAAAAAAAATCGAAGATGTTCTGCTTCATGAAATCAAAACTAAGATATCAACAACCAAGCCAGGTAAACCTGGTTATTAAATATTTTAATGCAATGAATGTTTTTTTGGCTTGAACTAGATTTTTATCAAGATCTGGTGATTCTCAAATATTTCTTAGGAAAAGAAAGGATTTCTTGGATGATGTGACGATGAATTCGACCAAGTTCATGTTCAATTTTAAGCAGAGAGCCCATCTTCTTTAAATGAAGCCCTCTCCTTCATATGAAATGAGAAAGGAAGAGAGATGGTAACATTGTATAATGTTGTCTTTGAATCATCAACTATGTCAATCAACAAATATTGAGGAAAAGAATAAATGGTCACTGATTCTTTACGAAGTAGGAGAAATAATTTCTCTCAAAAGCAATATTCTTCTACAAAGAAGGGGAAATAATTTCTCTTGAAGGCAATTTATGATAAAAATAGAGGTAAAAAATGTACACAGGAAAAAATTTTAGAGAATTAACTCGAAGCCTTAACATTATGGTGAAAATAAAGGCCACTTCAAAGGATAAGGTTGTTTTCTGAAAATCAAAATGGTTTAACTCTAAAGAAATTAACAAATTTTAAAACTTTCCCAATTTCTTAGAAAATTTTTTTTGGAACATGGTCTCTTGTTGAAAATAGTACGAATTATAACTCTTTATTGTTTAATGCCTAATAGTTTTTCTCAAAGGTGAATTCTAGATTCAGCAACTACTGGTTAAATGAGAAAGCTTATTAACCTTTTTCAATCTATCCCACTATAGAAATATTAAATTATCCAACAGGCTTTTAACAAAATATAGACAGTGCAAGGGGATATTTTTATTTTTTCCATATTTACACTCAGTAATGCGCTACATTCCTCTTACCTTGTGGTAAATTTTTTATCAATTTATTAAATTATTAGATGACATACTTGTAAACTAAATTTTTTAATTAATTATTCTGTTTTTCAAGGACTCTCTACGAGGAGACAATCGGGCAAAGCTAAAGAAAAGAATGAGTTATAGCCTCTTGAAGATAGATAGATAGATAGATCTCAGATATGTCATTTTACATGACTAGTTAGTGCTTACAAATGTTTAATGGATGAAGAATCTAGTCTTTTAATCATTTTGGATTGCCATGTTGTTATCTATGAGCATTTTTTTTAATATGGTCTGCGGAAACATAAACATTTTGTTATGCATAAGCACATAAGTTATACGTGTTTTAGAAGAGTTGATAATAAGGTCTAACAACCTTCATGCAGAAAATAATGTGACATTTCTGTTTGGTTCCAGTTATCTTGTAGTATTGTTTTTTAAATCTTAAATGACTACTTTTGATAACAATGACATGGTATTTTATGAAATAACAATTACAGGTTTACATATGAATTCATGTGTTTTAATTGTTTGCTTTGGTCTGTTTCTCTACTTATATAAACGCACTTCTTTTGTTGCCTTCCAAATTTGTCATTTATATAATCTATGATGTATTATTTCTTTGATATTTGCTCTAGCTTCTTTATCTACTTTTTAAGTTTCTTGGTTTCAAGAACATTTTTTTTAACGCATTGCTATGGCATGCTAGCGATCTGCATAAACCTGTTTGTTCATGATAATAAATATCAAATTGATTGCCATTTTTAGGTTGCAAACTTCAAATACATCGATGAAGTTGAAGCTGCTGCAGCAGAGGAGGAAGCTAAAAAGCAGGCTATGGCTGAAAATGGCTTTACCTCCAATCCTGATAGGGCCAATTACTGGGAAGAACTACTTGGGGACAAACATGAATTGATCCAGATTGAAAGGTTTACTACCATGGGCAAGGGAAAAATCGTAAACAGGTTTTAATCTCTATTGGCTTAACTTCTTGAGACATTTCACAATTCATTTTTATCTTCTTCAGTGACAACTTAATTGTAGGGCATGGAGTTTTTGATCATGATGTAAATTTCCTTATGAAAATTTCACTGATTATTTGTTTTATTTTCACAGTTGCATTATTTTAGTTTATTCTTAATCTTATTATCCATTAAGCACACCACCCAACCAGTTCTATACCTACATGCACATACCTGCTTTTTTTTATTCAAAAACTTCTGGTGCCCTGGCACATGAAAAATTGCTGTTGCACTTGTTGATATCAATTTGTCAGATTGTTTTTTTTATTCTGCCTTGCATCATACTTATTGATACGAGCAAATATAGCATCTTTCATAAATTTCAAAAATCAAATGTATCTTAAAATGTTTTTTAGCTGGATTAGGTTGTAAAATATAATTGTTGGTTGCATTAATATTAATGAGTATCTCCATCATGGGATGGCAATTCAACTGGTTCAGGTGTAAAAAAATGAGCTCTTCTATGCATGGATCATCTTATGAACTTTCAGCGTTGAGGTGTCACGATACCTAAAGTTGAATATTTTGCAGCTTATTTAACAGCCAAAAAATAATATATAAATCACTCAAGGGTCATCAACATTGGAACATCAAAAATCCTTATCCAATCAGGGCTTCAATGATTTAATTTAAAATCCCTCGAGAAAAATAAAAATGTTTTCATATACATTTCTGTATAATCTTATTGAGTTATGATAAAATATAACATTTGAATCTTCTCTCCATTTGATTATTTTCAAATCTCTTTGGAGAATGTCTTGCATAGTGTCTTGGGTTGGTTCTGGGACAAAAAATTTAAAATAACTTTTTTGAAGGATTCATAACTTCGTAGAAGATAATTTTCCAACAAAGGCTCAAAACATATCAGTGATCATTTGGAAAATGCAAACTTATGGTTTTAGCAATTATATCAAAGTTAATGACAAAGTTTGATAATGAGTATTTTTTTTTAAATTGAGTAGTAGGATTAAAGATTAATAAATGAGCTTGCAATTCATAAAATGTACAACATACAACTTTCTATTAATAGTTGACTTTGATAATTACATGAGGGGCCATCACTTGACATTTTTGCATTAATATATTTCTAAACTATTCAATGTGTGATTACAAGATTCTCATATGCCTTAAATAGTCTCCTTCTCAAATGAGAGCTCTCCACATCAACCATTATTTTTTCTCTATTATAAGTTCGTTAAGTATCATGCACTAATAGCTGCCTAGAGATTGTTTGGTTTGCCAAAAAAATGTAATATAGTTAAAAGGAATGTATTGTATTTGGAGTATTTTGAAGTTGTTTGGTTCAACATAAAATAAATACAAGGCTTCATTTTTTTTTTCTTTGTTTGAAGAAAAATGAGCTCAATATATAATAAAATCCAACAACAAACTGTAGAGGGGGCGGGGGGTTTGGAGGTTGGCTATGCGGCAAGCAACATTTTACACGATGCGGTGTACTTAAGATTCGCTAAAATTCAACAAATTCCATATGCATTGAAATTGAACTAGAGAATGAAATCCATATACATTGTACTTCTATATTGCAGTTGTTTTTCTTCAGACGAAACACCCAAATTTCAAAGAGTTTTGCAAAAGGATTGCAATGTGAAAGTTTGGCATATGCGAGCCACACAAATTAAGCCACTTGATACCAGTTGAACAATCAACACTGATATCATTTGTTGTGTGTGGGTTAGTCGTGATAAACCATGTTCATGCTCATTTTGGCTCATAAAGCCAATGGGCTTGAGCCTATTACTATGTGTTTTTGCAGAAAATATTTTAGCTATTAGATGTTGGGACTAATGCCTATTCTCATATATTCTTTGATAATAGCATCTTACCCATTGCTCTTCTTTTGAAGTTCTTGAACTTTTTATGGGTCATAATTTGAAATCTCTGTATTCAATTTGTTGCGTCTCAAGTTAATACTTTTTCAGCTCATATCACAAATAATATGAAATTTTTAAATAATTGTAGGGATATCGAATAATATCATCTAAGAAAAAAATCAAAATTTGTAAATTAAAACGCCCAAGAGAAAATGACATATTTCAATACAAAGTTTACAATCTTCTAATTCAAGTACTTCAATCAAACTTGATGAGAATTAAATCTAATAAATATAATTCTCCATGTTGAAGAGAAAGCATCTAATAATTATTTATATATAGTTAAATAGGTTGTTTAAGAAAAGAAGAGAATGATCAAAATATTTTCAATTATAGTAATAAAATACATCTTTTTTATATATGAAAAATGACGGACGACTGCTTTGCTAGGGTTTCGAATGGCGATCGCCATTGATTCTGTTGCTCGAAGCTTCCCTCCTTTCTCCTTCGTCGACTCGCGCTCGTCTTCATCGGCTCACGCTCGTCTTCGTCGGCGTCTGTCTACGTCTCGACGACGACACGTTCGCGTATGCACGACGAGTCCAGCTGCTCTGCGTCCTGCCGCTCGACCCCAGGCATCACGGCTTAGCTCTGCCTCTGGCGTCTGTGACAGAGCCGCTCATCAACCCAGTTTTGTGATTCTCACTGTTTTTCCTGCCGCAACAACTTTGCTGTAGCTCAACGCCAACAACTCTCATTGCTCTGATAGCGCCTCCTTGTTTGGTTGAGTCGGACTAAGTCTCCTTTGCCCATGTGGTGGGTAACTCTTAGGTGGAGTCCGCAGTGGGATTCCCCTCAAGTTATAAGGAGTCTCGTGAAGATACAGATGATTGTTCTTTTATTAAGAATGAAGATAGGGAATGTGAAAAAGTAGCAATCTTTCTTTTGAATCAGAAATTTCTACAATGACAGAAAAATTCAAATTTGCTCTTATTGGAAAATTTCAGTGGGGACACCCTCCTATGAATGTTCTCAAAAAGAGTGTTTATGATCCTAAACTAGTCGGCAAGTGGAAAGTGAGACTCATGGATATAAGACATGTGTTGATCCAATTAACAGTGACTGAAGACTACACTAGAATTTTCTTCAAGAAATATCTTAATATTGAAAGCAAATTAATGAAGTTACTCAAGTGGTCTCCTAATTTCGATCCAAATCATGAAACTCCCTCTGTACCAGAATGATTTAATTTACCTGGTCTCAAGCTGCATTTTTTTCGCCATCAGGTTCTCTACTCTATTGGGGCCATCCTTTGAAACTAGATCTACCTACTTTCAACCTAACTAGACCCTCGGTGGCCAGAATACTTGTGGAAATGGATATTACTTTACCTGATGTTACTGAAGTCTGGCTCGGCACAACCCATAATGGTTATTGACAACAAATCATCATGGAACACAAACCTCCATATTGTACCCACTGTAAGATGTTGTAAGATGTTTGGTTCAAGTGAATAAGGATGGGTCTAACCACACTGCATCCTTGCTAAATGCCACAAATTTCATACTAATTTGAAATCTAAGGTTCAAGTGAATAAGGATGGGTCTAACCACACTGCTGTGGACATTTTGGTTCCACATGAGGAGGATACTACCAGACAGGAGGTGTCTGTTGCACCTGAGGACCCCCCATGATACTGTTGTTACTGTTACTGCGAGTGATACGAAGCTGATACCTACAAACTCCATACAAAACAATACTGATGGACTATTACCTATAAATGATGGTGTTCAAGCTGATAATCAGGAGAGCCTCGCAGCTCCACTTCTTCACTTCGTATCCGGTGTAGCGGCAACTCATATTTCACATATTGTAGAACCTATTGTGGGTATTACTGTTAGTAATCCTTCTGCTTCAAGTAATCCTTCTGCTAATCCTTCTGCTTCAGCTCTACCCCATCAGGCGGATTTTTCGAAGGAGGAATGACAGGTTTACACTTTTGGGAGGAAGAAGAAGAATGAAGATCTACTAGAGCTCAAGAGTCTTATATATGATACTTTGGTTACTACGGGATCCTTACCAATCTGCTAGCTGGATCCTTACCGAGAACCAGAGCCAAAGGTAAGACTAGATTGGGATGACCCACACTTTTGCAGCACCCGGGTGGTTTTTGGGTTTCTTTTTATTTCTGTATGTACTCGTCTTTTACATTTTTTGGTGTGCTGTATCATGTGGGTTGGGTGTTTAGGCTCAACCATACAAACCTATCTGTATCTTTATCTAATATATATATATATATATATATTACGCATTAATATCAAAAAGTCGGTCACAAAATATAGGAGGGAAAAATGGATCCCCGCTAAAAATAAAGAAAATACATAGAATTCTAGGGGTTCCTTTTTCCAAATTACAACTCCACCCGAAAAGAAATAAATATGAAACAAAGGGAAATATAACCAAAATTTACATGTATCAATCCAAAACGTATACCCAAAGAAATGATGTATACCCCATATGAACATGTATATAAATTGGACAAATATCATCTTAATGAAATGAATTTTCCTACTTATAGTTTCAAAACCCTATTTGGAGATTAACTTTCACATTGTGGTAATTTCATTTGAAGGTCAAGAGGGAATCATCAAACATTATTGGTTAGAACTAATCCTTGATTTAAGTGTTCATACTTTTCCCAAAATATAACTACTTGCCAACTTAGGACCAGTTATCCACAATCTTTTTAAGCATTCAACAAGTATATAAATGAAATGTATATGGGTTGACTCCGAATATTCATAATTACCTGTGAAGTTCAATTAAGAATTACATGACTATGAGAGCGTGCAGTTCTTAGCTCAGTAATTACATAGTTAGACTTGTCCAAGTAAATTATCTTCTCAACATTGCATGTAATTAGAAATTCATTTGCATTTACTTCGACATATCAATTATCTAAATGCAAATTAGGGGCTTTCAAGCTTTCTGTTGAACATTTGACCCAACAATTGCATGTTAGCAAAGAAAGCTAAGTTGTCAGGCATTTAAAACTGCAATCACATCTTCTCCCTTAAATTTCTGACGGGAAGAACTATAAATCTTGTTGACTTCATCTTATAACTTTACTACATTATTTAAACTCTCTCTAGACAATTCTGAGGTATTGCATGTCCATGCGTCTGCCATTTACTGGTTGGCCGAACCTCTTTGATGCCCCTTAACTTTCTTCTCCTCATCTTATGATCAATGTGAGAATCATTATTGATCATAGCTTCCTATATTGTGATTGACTTCGGCGTGCCAGGTGTCACAATCCTATCTTTATCATTGGACTCCCTCACTAGTTTTGATGTGGGTTTTATCTAGCTCCTTTTCAACAATTTTTTCCTTAGAAATTTAGTGTCATTGTTGATAAAAGTGATGCATTTTATCTTCTCTAACTACAATTGTAATAAATGGAAATTCTCGTGATTGAAATTTATTAGTTAATTAATGTAACGTATTAATCGTCAAGAACTATCATTTATCACAAGTGCTTTGAACGTGTTTTTATTTCATAATCGGTTTTCTATGTGTGCTACTCAGATGCCTGCTACTGAAGAGGGTGAAGCAGCTGAAACAGGCTCTGAGGATGAGGACTATTCTTTTGAAGATCTGTCAGATAATGATGTTGGTCTACCTGGACAAACATCAGGAAGAAAGGGCCAGCTCTCAAGAAAAAGATGTCGTGGTAATTTCTTCATGCTTGTTTTGTTTATTGTACCAAAGGTATCATTTGAGAAACGTTGTTTATAACTTGAATGCTACATTTGCAGTCGATTTATCTGAACCACATGCCCTAATGCAAGGTGAAGGGAAGTCATTCAGAGTTCGTGGTTTTAATCAAAACCAAAGAGCTGCATTTTTGCAGTTACTTATGAGGTCGGTTTCATATTATTTGTTCCTGAATCTTTGTTTTGTAAATTTTCTTAAGATTTTTGATTTTCATCTTGTTATTCTGGCAAATATCATCTTGCTCTTTACGGCACGGTCAAGACCTTAGATGTTCCATTCTTCTCACACATTTTATTAATATTATTCATAATGTTTTGCTTGCACTTTGTCAGTAGCATTTTGAAATATTTACAATCTGTACTTCCCATACTACTACTCTTTTGTGTTATGTTGCGTACATTGACTTATACACAAGTCTATGTTATACATCCACACAATTATTTCGTTGATTTGAAGTGGGACATTCAAGTTTTGTTCATACAAATTTTTGTAACATCTTCAAGTTCAGCTTTACTTGGTTCATCAGAAAATTCTATCTCCGTTCACTTTTTTATTTAACAATTGGTTTTTATTTCTCTTTTGCTTTGCTTTATTCTTATATATTACATTGCAGGTTTGGTTTTGGGAAATTTGATTGGAAGGAGTTCGTGCCTCGGCTGAAGGGCAAAAGCATGCACGAAGTTCATGAGTATGATGACAATGATTTGCTCCCAGAAAACTTTTTTTAGAGTTTGTTAACTATCTTGTTTTTCATGCAAATTTGGTGTATCTCGCATTAATCCTTTTACATAATTTACCTAAAATCCATTGATTTCAAAGCTTGCTCCATTCTCTAGTAATCTTTAAGCAGTATTCGTGGTATTTTTTTGGTTGGTCTTAATTTAACATTTTGAGTGATTCTTGCCACTTTGTCCACCTTTACTTTCCTCATCTCATGGTATTGAAAATTTTTTTCCGGAGTCTCATTTGCTTCGAACAGTTAAATACCAAGTTTATAATTATAAGCTGAATGTAAATTTCTCTCCTTTTCCTGCCCATTTCATATAAATTGATTTCAAAGATAGTTTCATGCAATATTGAGGTTAAAGCCATCATAGCTATGTTATTTAAATGAAATGGACACATTACTCCATTGATAAAAGGTTGCAAATGCCAATAATGAAGATCACAGAAGAGGCCAACTCTAACCAAAAAATTATCTTGAATCCAATGTATGCATGTATGGAAGAACATTGCACTTTTTTGTGCATGCATCCTCAGCTCTGTTAAGGCATGTGATGCATGACAAATATGGTCATCAAACATATTGTTTTATAGTCTCGTGATATTTATTTTTGACATGTTTTAAATGTTCTAAATATTTCATAAATATACACCTATATATGTACATATATGAAAAATAGATGCATATTTTCTTTCCTCAATTTAGTGCATTGTTAGGAAAGCTATATTAGCCTTCATCGCTTAAGAAGTCATGGCTCGTGTTTTAGGAGATTGATTGATTGACCGAGTTTGAAATAAAGTTATGAGATTTTATGTCATCTTCTGTTGTTAATCCATCTCTTCTCTCACATTTTTTTTTCGCCTTTCTGGTTTATTACTTCCCTCATCTTTATTATCACTTTCTTCTATTTCTTAAGTGGTGGCAGAGCCTCTTATCAGAGCCCCCTGAACTTTGCACTGGTTTTTAAGATCTGATGTCTTGCTCCATTTCTCATCCGTTCTTATGCAACCCCTCATACACATGACCTTATATAGCAAAGTCGTTTCTCTATTTCAAAACTTCACACTTTCTTCATCGCTAGGCTTTCATACACATTCGACAAGATCACAAATCTGCACTTCACCCACTCAATCTAGCTCAAACTGACTTGACTCTTTGTATTGTTTGTTCTTCGACTCTCTAACACGTGTTGTCATTGTTACATACACTTGACATCATCTCGGTGCCATTTTGTGTGCAATGCCAATTGCTTGTGTTGCATGTGTTCACATACTCTCTAGTGGTAGCAGCTTATAGCATCAAAATTCAATACCTATGCTTTTGCCTAGGTATTGCTTTCATTTTCAGTCCAACTTTTATGGTGCCCTTCGTATTACCTTCATCTATTGTTTTCTTGCCATTCGTGGATTTATGCTTATCCTTTTTGCATCAAACATTATGCTTGTTTTCATCCTTTGGTACTAGACGTTGCCATGTCAGCAACTAGTTCTCCCAATTGAACTCTTCTCTTTTTCCTTAGTGAATTCCACCTTTTTCTCCAACGTTAGTTGGCACTAGGGTCTTGGTTGAACCCCCACTCAGGTTGCCACCTCTTTTTGTGGCAGCCTCTTCTCAGAGGATCCTATTTTTTATCTCTCTTTCTATTGATATCGTTCTTGTGGATAAGACTAGAGAAAGTGCTTAGGAATAACTTTAATTATTGAGGTCTACTTTGGAGTCTAAAGGCTTCGTTTGAGTAGAATTAAAACTGAATGTATGGAATGTAATTTTAATAGTAGTAGCTCTAGTGTTAGAGTTGTATTTTTGGGTGATCAAATTATTAAAAGGTGTAAACACAATAGTTATCTCGGGTCTATTTTTTGAAGTGATGGTGATATAGATGGGGATGTTATTAGCAGAATTCAAGTTGGTTGGTTGAAGTGAAGGAATGCGTCGGGCCTATTTTTTGATAGGAAAGATGACATTATAAGATGGTGGTGACACTTGCAATGCTCTATGTCGTAAAACATTGGCATTTAAAAGAGAAGCATAAAACTAAGTTAAGTGTTGCCGAGATGAGAATGCGTAGGTGGATGAGTGGCTTTACACTTAAAGACAATATGCAAAATGAATATATCGGTGATAGGGTTGGTGTAACTACAATTGTAGACAAAATTAGAGAGACTTGTCTTAGATGGTTTAGTCACATTAAACATTGACCATCTGATAATCCAGTTAAGAGAGTAGATGTTTTAGATTCGACTTATGTTAAGAAAGGTAGATGTAGACCTAGAAGGCATTGTATAAAAAATGATCTTAGTTTATTAGAATTAAAGCATTGTATAAAAAATGATCTTTGTTTGTTAGAATTAAATGAAAATATGTCACTCAATAGGATGCAATGGAGAAAAAATGATTCATGGCAATGGAGAAAAAATGATTCAATTCATGCAGCCGACCTCTCTTAGTGGGATAAAGGCTTGTTGTTACTGTTTTTGTTCTCTCTGTTGGAATTTGTGCTTCTAGCTTTATCTTTTTGCAAATGTTATATAAGGGTTGAATGGTTCAAGATTTTAATTGTTCTCCGTCTAAAAGCCATTTCTCTTCCTTCTTTTTATAATTCAATATCACCTCGCATAATCATCTGATATCGGAGGAAGCCCAAACCACTATAGGAATATAAATATTATTTCTGAAATTGAAATTGATTACAACGAATGCTCAAAATAAGAAATAAATGATAGTAAACAAAAAAAGACATACTAAGGAGATGACGAGGGGCTTAGCGGCTGTTGGACAATAGGTAGGATGGAAATTCGAGGCTTGCGGCAGTGGTAGAGGGCTGGTGCAGGATGGTGGCAGTGGCGAAAATGCTGGGAGAGTAAGTATGACGGCAAGTTAGGGTGTGGGAGAGGATTGTGATAGCAACATGAGAGGTTGGGAGGGATGGTGGTAGGAGGAGGAGGCGTTGGACAACAACCCAGCAGTGGCAGGGGAGGAATAGGATGAGCAGGTGATGAAAACCGGCCATTGGCTGAGGGAGCAAGTGATGGCAAGAAGGGTAAGGGCTGGATGGGCAGTTGGTGGATGGGATGAGGACAAGGAAGGGAAGATGATTTATGGCTGCTGGGAGAGAGGCTTGAGTGGCTGCAGAATGATAAATGTCTCGTTGGAGTCGAGCTACAACCGAAACACCACCTAGATCCTTTGAGACGGTTATTATCTTGAACGAGTTACAATTGAAGCACCTTCTAACCGTCAGGTACATCCCCGGAGGGGAGAATGCCTCAAAGTCAGCACTTAGAAATTTACACTCGTTAAAACTGCCTCCTAAAACACTCAACAACACATTTATATAATGAGAATTTGTAAATAAAATAGATAATGCTTAGGAAAGAAAAGAAATAGAAAAAGGCAGGCATTGAATAAGTAGGAAATAAAGTAGGAGAATTATGGGAAAAGAAAGAAAGAGGGAGGGAAACGAAAACGGAAAGGGGAGTAGGGTTGGGTCATGGTATTGTAACAGCTATAGTACCACGTCCATGACACTGCAGCATCTACAGTGTCGCGATTTAGAGAAGCTTCCGTGTCATCATGCATCCATTTATTGAGATGAACATATTAGATTATTCATTGACGCGGAGATCTTAGAGCTTGTTAGGTCTCCTAGCTTTTTTATGGTTGACAAACTCTTGTTGGGTGACCCAAACTCAAAAATTTATTTGCAAATTTACTCTGATATACACTTGGTGACGACTTTGTAGGGCTCATTGACCCTCATTATGCTATTACTATATTTTCTTCAGAAACATGCTACACTAGAATATTGTTCTTGATGTTCATTGATTTCTCTATGTGTATGCTATGTGTAATACTAGAGTGGCATACCTGTTTTTACTCATCCAAGAAACCACATAGAACTCTAGTTCGGATTCCATCCCCTATACTTTGTTTATGCTATTTGGACCAATAAACTGTTTGCATAATGAGTTTTATGTTTGACAAATTTTTACAAGTGAATAATGCTACTATTCATCAATTTAGTTTTTTTTTTTTTTTGGTTGAACTAGATATTACTTGTTCAATTAGAAAAGGAAGTGTAGATTCTCTCATCAACATATTAGCAAATCCCATTATATTGTTGATCTTGCAAAATTTTTTGGCATAAATTCTTCAAATGTTGCATGGCTCATTCAACTATGAGGAATTCAAATTACCAGGTGTACGAGATACAATTAAATGATCAATTTGAATATTCTATTACTTTGGGTGAAACTCCTTTATTAAACTAGGTCTATAATCAAAGCTCGGTCCCAAATTTTGATTTTTCTTCGGAAATAGAGGTACTTGTCCTTTCATTTGTTAGCCCTTTGGTGGTAGTCACTTTTACACTCGCAAGCATCGCCTTTGATCTTGATCCACTTATCACCATAACAACACACTCCTTTAAATTGTGAACAGAAGGATGATCAAGATACATAGCAACTCATGATTTAGATAGGAGCACGTAGATTGTCGACAATTATGATGGATAAGAGGTTTCAACTTCTATTTATCTGACGAGGAAAGAAATAGAGAAGTTCTATTATAACTTTCATATATTCCTCAAGCTTCAAGCAAAGCAATCAAAATAATTCTTTTTTAGTTTTTATGTTAAAGATTTTTTAAAGTATGCGATCATTGTATCTTTATCCCATCTCATGCACTTTTCATTATTTTGAGAAGAATTCCAATTCCTGTTTTTCCTAGCACTATGCTCGCACACCCTACTATCAGGTGACTCTAAACTCAATTAGATAAGCTATGTTAAAATAAGATTCATTATAGAAGAAAGATAACTTACATGCTGGTTTCAAACTAATATGAGTAAATTTAATTATAATCACAACTAATCTAGTGCAACAATAATGAATACACATGCTTTAATACTTATAGTAAAGAGAGCATGCTTAAAAGTAATTGATGCAAAGTTGGTTGGATAAAAATAAAAATTTCTAATGAGAAATTTTTTCATTCATTATATTAAATAATGTCATTTATGCAATTACTTAGCATTCATTTTCAGTCTTATTCTTAGTTCTATTTATCTTAAAAATGTTATATTATATCTACATATGTTTTAACTTTTTTAATATCATTATGACATAACCCAGCTTACCGGTCATAATAACTGCTGATAAATGTTGATTATTCAAACGCCACACTTATTAATGACCCTTTGATACCAGCTAGCACCGTTCCAACCTTAATACCAAGAGTAGGGAATTTATTTATTTCCCTATTAAGGCTTATCGTGTGAGAATTTATCACTTGTATAAATCATCATTATATATGCCTACAGAGCACAAATTACATAACATTTAAAATTTCTTTTAATCTTTTATAATTCTTTTTGCCATGCAATTCTTGTTTAACATGAATGCATTTATTAGAAAAAGCTTTGATAACATGCTTTACGAATGAAATATACCATTTGGCATTTCCCCATTTTACCTGATTCTGCATTTATTTGGGAAAAGTTATGAGATGGGAAAAGTTATGAGATGGGAAAAGTTATGAATGGAAATGAATAGGTAAACATTTACCCATATTTAATTTTGCTATTATAATCAAATATGCTCATTAAGAGGGATATTCTAAATGTAAACATATACGAAGTAAATTTACTACTAGGCAATAACAAACATTAGTTCTATAGAGCATTCGTTTCTTATTTTAGCAATTGAGTATCTCATCTTGGTCGCTGGGTTTAACCTCATGATGAGTTTCTTCACTAGGCTTGCCTTGAGCTTGTTTTCTCATGTAAACAACTTATGAATCACAATTTCCTTCAATTTTAATGAGATTCTTAAATTAAATTTAATTTTACACATTGGAGTTTGGGGTCATTTTGATGGGGATAGGCATTGTTTGACGGCTGTCTCGGTTGAAAAGTGATGCCCTAGGTGGTCGAAGACCTATCTATAAAATATTTTATGTCATAAATAAAAATTTAATATTTGTAAATTTTCAAAATTCTACATCATTTCATTTTCTCAATTTTTGAGTCTATTTGATATGGATTTTCAAGGTTTGGGGTATGAATTTGAGGTGTTTCAAATTTCCTGGATACTATAGGCGTTGTTGGGCCACTATCCCAACTGAAAATAGTGGGTCGGATAGTGAATCAATGAGATATGGGTCACGAGAAGGTTCGCCACCTGTTTCTGAGCAAGATATAGACACACCTCTTATAAAAGAAAAATGATACAACATTTAAGGTAGAAACAGAGATTACAATCTCCATAATATTCGAAACAAGCAAAAAGCCTTCTAAAATAACAAAATAACAACATATAAATAGTCCCTCAAATAGAAACCCTACTTAGCAACAACGGAATAGGAAATAAATAAAAAAGAATAAAAAACTGGGCTGAAATTAGAACTCAGACGGTTTCCCTTTTCAGTCACCATGATTGCGGGATTTTCCTCAATTCTACAGAATCCAATGTTAACAGGACTGATTCCATGCTCCATGTGGAATCCCGTGACATAGCAGGAAAGCTCCAACACCAATTTCTACTTCCAAGTTAAAAAAAATAAGTTGTTCTTAGCTAGAACGTTTACTTAACTTCCATGCGAAAAAGGAGCTGATGCTAGCGGTAGATAAAAGTAAGGGTTGGTTTGCATATGCTGTGCTCTTTTTGATTGCTTTGTTTTACTGCAAACTGAGTTCTCATTATGAGGTTAAATTAATCTTACTGAGGAAATTATAACGTTTGCTTTGTGGTTTTTTTGGTTGTTTCCTCAACAGTTATGGCCGGCTATTTATGGAGCATCTTACTGAGGATTTAAATGATTTACCCACTTTTTCAGGTGCGCAACGTTAATAGAATTTTTTTCTTGTCTGTGATTTTCACTTTTACCTATCCATTTTCCTTACATATTTAGATGGAGTACCAAAAGAAGGTCTACGAGTAGATGAAGTGCTGGTTAGACTTGGCACCATTCAATCCATAGAAGAGAAGGTATGACCATATTGCCTCACTTGGTATTTTGGTCGTTACATCATAATTTATTCATGCTCTTATGCTTAAGAGTGTATTTGACAGATTTTTCACGATTATTGTTGACCTCAGTCCCAATTGGGTTGGCTTTCAAGTTCATGTCATGAATTTTGGTTTAAGTTTTTCAAATTGTCTGGCAACCTACGATTGTTTTCAACTTTTCTTATTCTGGCTTAGGACTTGCCTTGTTGGTTTTTATTGTTAAACTATTTAATGCAGATTTAATTATCTTTCTAACTAAGATCTTTGAAGATTTCATGTTCCGTGGGTTTTGCATGAATTAAGAAACAGGTTATGGTTTCTATACTTGAAGCGCTGAAGAAACTTTTATTTAATGTTTTTGATAGTTTATATCATGAAATATGAATCAAATGGAAAGTAGGCTGTTTTATGTGCATTAGGTGAGAGCATACATGATTTGACCACTTAAAAGGTACAAGAGTACCTGAGTTAAGAAGTGCACCATTGATGATTTGTAGCAATCTTCAGCACCTAATAGATCAAAGTAGTGTTTTTTTTTTTAAATTTTAATTAAGTTCATGAGCTCTTATGATTTGGGAAATCACGCTAGAAGTCATACTAGCAGCTGGTTTAGTTATCTATGTAAATTATGGATTCTTTCCACATGTCTCTAATTGCAATTGTATTTAAATCCTCGTCTTCATTTAATTGTCTAGATACTAGTTTAGTCCCTTTCAATCGTCTTGGTATTAGTTTAGTTTCTCTTTTTTATCATCCATTTAAAAAGTTGCACTCATTTCTTTCAATAAAATTGCTCTTAACCGAGGTGCTGGAGAGAAAAAAATGACACTGAGTTAGCGGCTATGATGACGTTGGTGGAGTTGGTGTTAAGAGTGCATAAGTGAGAGACATCATGGACGGTGAGATAATAGGGAAAATTTTACGTTAAGAATGGGTATGGCAAGGCAATAGCATATCTGTTTCATTGTTTCATTTCAAACAGATGCATTAAATAATCTTTTCTTGTTCCATCTGAAAAGAATGTTAAATGTTTCATAAGGTGAAGGAGATTAAAATCACACTGGGAAAATTTTACGTTAAGAATGGGTATGGCAAGGCAATAGCATCTGTTTCATTGTTTCATTTCAAACAGATGCATTAAATAATCTTTTCTTGTTCCATCTGAAAAGAATGTTAAATGTTTCATAAGGTGAAGGAGATTAAAATCACACTGTGAATGTGAAATGAGCGTACAAGCTCTTTATTGTGTTGTATGAATGTGTTTTAAACATTGGTGGTCCTGAAAATTTTTTATACACAGACATTTATTCAGTTTAAAAACCAACCCAATTTTTCATTTTAAAAAATTAATGAATTTTTTTGCTGATGGACTTGGTTTGGAAACTGGCCTGATGTATGTTTTCCTTCTTTTTTGACGCATTTGATAAGTGAAAGCCATACTATCAAAATATTTAGCAAATAAAGCATGCACCTTCTCAACATTTTTTAGAATCAGTAGTCTATTTAAACTGGAAGGCTTGGTATTGTTGGTGCTAATGCTTAACCTCTTGGTTATCGTGCAAGTTTGTGCTGACAGCCTCCAAATTTCCTAAGAAGTTCAATTATTTCCGGACATGTCAAACAAAGAGAATGTTTCTTTTTTTTAAAATATACATTTCTACTAGCAAGTAGATGTAAAATTCTTGTGCTGGTATGTTTTGACAACAATCTTAGGTTGTTCTTCGGACTACTTTCTATACTTGATGATAATTATGAGCTGTTTAAAGTTTAATTTGTATTTACTTTTATGTTGAATTACTTGAGCTTTATTGCAGGGATTTTATGTTATTTTCTTTTATGATATTACAGTTGAACTTTCTCTCAGAAAGTCCTGGCGTTCCCCTTTTTGCAGAAGACATACAGTTATGGTTTCCTGCTTTGAAAGGAAGAATATGGAGGGAAGAACATGATATTTTGTTGTTGAAAGCGATTCTAAAGTATGTGTTCATAATCTTTGTTATATTCAGATTGACAGGAAAATGTAGTTTTACTTATATTCTATTATTATATCTCACTTAGAGGCCTATTGCAATTGGAAAGTGGCTGTGTTTATGTTACCTTTATTATGGTCTAAATGTTTTGTAAATTTAGGGAAGAGATTATTTTCACTAACCCCTTTGCAAACATTACATTGGTGGGAGAGTCGTGCATTTGGATGCAAATTTCTGTAGTTATAATTGTGAAATCATTTTCCTCCTAATGATATAATATAAAATATGCATATATGAATTACATATGGAAATCTTTATATGCTTTTCTCCCTGTCTGCTCACCTGTTCAATTCATCAATTTTTGGATAGGCATCATTGAGCATGAACACTCTTTGAAGGCTGTCTACTTCTCAGGCTGTGTCCTTAATGTCATACATTTCACAAAACCACGATAAACCTTCATCATTAGATGCTCCGTATTCCTTATTTTTCAGATATGAAATAAATAAAAAAAAGAAAATCGTTTACTTTTTTAGCATTGGGCATAGCATGGGAGTGGGTTTGGCAGAAGGTCGACTTAATTCTGTTGCTGTAATCTGGTTAAATTCTCAGTTTATCTTATTTTAGATTCTCTATTTCTCATTCTGCCTATTTATCACTTTCTCTTTCCATGTTAGCTTGATCTCACTTTCTTATATTTTGTACTGGTCATTATGCTAACAAAAATTATCTTGTTTTTCATGGATTCATCACAACTTTCACTCATTAATAATACGTCATCGATGGCTTATCAAATTTTCTTATGATTTTCCATCTTGCTTCTTTTTCATGTTTCTGTTTGTTATAAATTTCTATGTTTTTGTGTAAGCAATACATAGAAGACTTGTAATATCCTTGACTTTTTTACAAAATGTAACATTCATTTTATACTTGATTTAGAGCTGAACTTGTGAATTAATTTTCTTTTTGAAGACATGACAACATCTTTGTTCTATCCACCTAAGAGCCTGCTAATTCTGCTAGTATTTCCTGTTTTCTTCCTTCTTGGTTTCAATTTTGACTTCTTTTTTTTGAAAAGCCTTCCAAGCATTAGGAGTTTTGTTCTAAAAGAATCATAAGGCATGTCGTTGTTATTAGAGATATAGCGACTTTGATTAATTGGTATACTTGGAGTGAAGATTTTATAATTTTTTCGAAGATTGACTATAGAGAAAAAATGACAAGGCTTATTTCAAAAGTTAATGAACTAGTTTTCTATTGTTCAAATTCTATTTATAAGAGAAAAACGATTAGTTGTAAAAGTATAATATTTGTTTTTTCTCTTTTTATTGTGAAGTATGCATTTAAAAGATGCATATTGATAAATATCTAGGGAAAGTAATATATTTATTGAGATTGTTTAGATTTATTGGAGTAATATATTTATTGAGATTTTTTAGATTTACAATTTTTTTTGCTGAGACTAAAGAGGCATAGAATGAACAATGATTGGAGAATATGAATTTTTTTTTAATATTTAAAAATGAAAAAAATAAAATTTTATTTATGTGCTTACAGTGAAATTATAGAAGAGGTATTTGAAGTCCAAGAAAAATCAGCTTTCTGTAAGGGAATCAATTTGTTTATTTTAATGCTTTTAAGGTGTAGCACATATGCAATATTTGTTTTCAAGTATTTAATGGAAAGTTAAGAAGAGAATAGAATAGCAATCATCATATATTTTTTCTTTATTTTGCAATTACATATATTAATACACCTTGAGAATTTATTTGTTGGGAATTATTATAAACTATTGTTCAATCATATGCCAAAGCTATTATTGATATGGTTTTTGAAGTAGAGCCTAACATTAGAAGTGGTTGTGGTTTAACATAAAGGTTTTTAATCATACAATATTAACATGAATTATCAATATTAAGCTATTAAGCTTTTAGCAATAGTTATGATGATGCTTTGAGAGGATATTGCTGATTAGCTACTTTTTGTTTGATAGTTTTGGGTGGCATAGCTTTTCTTCAAGTAGAAATTAGAGCCATGAAAGAAACTTTTAGAGGGTTTTTGCAGGTACTTCTTGTATGATAGTTTTGAGTGGCAAAGGTTTTTTGAAGCAGAAGGTTAGAAGCATGAAAGAAAATTTAATAGGGTGTTTGTTATGTAGAACTAAGAAATTCTTTCTTTTTCAAGTTATGCAATTACAATGGATATGAAGTTGATATTTATCTATTAATAAGCTAGAAGTTTTCATGAAATAAGATTGATTAGTTTTATTTTTTTTGGGTCTCTTGTACAAAAGTAGGTTATAGACAATAATTTAACTTTTGGTGTTATGGTTTATTCATTAAAATGGAAAAGTGTCTTAGATGTATAATGCAACAGAAAATATTATAAAGATTTAAAGGCAATTTTATTGAAACTATGGTTAAGCCACTACTATGATATTTGGATTCTTGCATTCAATGACAAAGAAATCGTTAACAATGTCTAGAATTGAGAATGCTATGATTGATGTTTAAAACTAGTAAGTATAGAAAAAATAGTTACAACAGACAAAATGTGAATGTTGCATCTTTTGAAGATAAGTTAGCGAAGAATAAATTATGTGATTTGGGTGTAGTTGCCTTAAAAGGGAATTTAGATGGAACTATTGTTTGGAATAGGAAGGAAAAAAGGCTTTATTAAAGTTAGCATGGATAAAAGTTGTGTGAATGCTCTAGCAAATTAGAGTTGATACCTCGTCTAACTAACAATAAGAATTAATAGAGAAGGATTCATAAAATAAGCCATAAATGGTTTCTAAGAGTTTAAGGGTGATGATAAATAGAGGCTTGATAATAATGTCTTACTTACTTATATAAGGTTAATGTAAATGCAAGTCCTTGAGGTATAGAACATGCTTCACACGGGTCTACATTAAACATTCTATTTTGGTCCCGACAAATAATAAGTGTTTTATGAAGGCCAGTCCTTCCTTAGAGCCATCTATTAAAGGATAGAGTTATCCTTTTATTTTCTTTTATTTTTTCTCTCCTCTCCCTCAAGCTATCCTTGGGAGCTTGCAAAAGCAAATGTTTGGTTGTGAGGTAAGTCTCTCTGAATGCATGGGCTTGTGTTGACTAGCTCATTAAAAAAGATGGGAAGAGAAAATAATGCAAATTTTGAGAGTGAGGTTCTGGTGTCATTTATGCCTTTGAGTTCAACACACTGGCAACATGAAACTTCATCAGAGCCGCTGCTCCTAGATAAACCTTCACTATTTAGTCAATGACTCACGTTCTTGTTGCTTTGATTGTTTTTTTCTTTGACTATTGCTACTATCTGACTTGATTTCTTTCTTTTGCATTAATCTATTGGTAGGTATCCTAATCCTAGTGATTGAAAACAAGGTTATCTTTTCGTTGATAATGAAGGTGTTGTAGAAACTAATGAAGGTGTTGTAGAAACTAGAGGAGAGGCACACAATGTGTAGATTTGATTCTGTAGGAAAAAGGCTTTTTCCTGTAAATGAAAGGCTATGATATTTCTGTTTAGAAATTTAAAACAAAAGCCATTTACCAAAAAAAAAAAAAAAAGGACGTGAAGGCCAAAATCTCATGCGAGTTACTGTTTGAATATTCATTTAAAGATATTAAATCTCATTAGAATTGATGCTGTACTAGTGAGTTTTTAGAAGTGTGGATTAACATGAATCACACCTTATACCTTTGGGCCCTATATGCAAATTACCTTACTAAAAATTTTAGTTTATATTTTTAACAATAATTGATAATGCTCGTATACCAGGAGCAGGTAATTATTTTTGCCTTTAGTACCCATTCTCTTTTGTTTGCATGGGTATAACAAAAGCAGACCAAAAGAGTTTAAAAGCATTTGATTTATTTCATAACTTTTTTGCGCTTTAAGGCCAGTAAACATACAACTCACATGAATTAACTTTGTTCCAGGCTCTGCCAAAACCTCCACAATCAAAGTCAAGGCATGAATTATCTTTATTTTTTTGTATTTATTATTGTAGTTATGAACATCATGTTTCAGTACTTGGATTCTTCAAATTTTTTAAAACAGTTTTGTATATGAATACACTTTAGGGATGAATAAGATAAGCTTTCCGACCACCTTTTCTTTTCACTTCGGTATCAAAATGAGCTTAAGATTCTCTTTCCAACATTTGCTTTTACTTATAATGTCTGGTTTCCTCAACTTACCGTTCGGAGAGCTGACTTTTTCGAATGGTGAAAAACATACTTAATGATAATTTCATGGGAAATAAACCTAGTATCAGTTGAAAAGAAGAAACTACCTGAAGTGTTCTCACGTTGTAAAGAATTACATAGAAGAGAAGAATAAAAAACTCTTCATCTAGTTGATCCTTCAGATTTGAAAGATTTGAAGTTTGAGCTTTAGATTGAATTAGATCTCATGATCGTATCATGATCATGAAAAACCGTGATGCATGAAATCAATAAACCATATATGGTCCTAAAAGTCAGAAAAGACATTTGGGAAGCTATCAAACGTACTCATTTAAAGATGACATTTTCATCTATGAGATCAAAGCAAAGCTATAAACAAAATTTATCACTGAGCATTTTGATTTCTTTCATTGTTTCATGTGCTAGTGAAATTTTTTCATCTTTTTTTTTTGTATGATGATTGTGATGATTTGGGGCTCTCTCCTTGTCAGTTTGTACTTGCCAAATGTATCAATATTGTTTTTTCTTTCAAATGGATATGGATTTTTTTATTTTGAAGTAGGTCTGCACGTAGATACATATGTCTTAACCCTTTTTGTCATGTTTAGTTGAGTTGAACAAGGGATGCATATGGATATCAACACCCACTAGTGACTAAGAATCTATGAGAACCTAGAGTGAAACAAGAATTACAAGACTTCCCAAGACCACACAACCATAAAACTTACTTCTCAATGGACTCTTGTGCAAGTGTGAAGAACTTTGCACTATGAAAGTGAGTAATTAGGAATAGTTAGCTGTTGCACACTCTTAGATTTTGGCAATTTCAGCCACCACAATGCCTTGCAGTAAACTTCTAGATTTTCATTATAATGGCTACTGTATATCCAGATTTCTGAATCATTCTCAGGCCAAAGGCAGGATTCTTGCACTTAGTATAACATTAAAAGCATGTGTTTCGTGTTGTTTTTGCTCATGGTTCGTTGGAATTGATATTTTCCCCGCTGTAAGACCACAATTGTAGCTGCCTAATAGCTGTGAATGTTTAGCCAGTGGCCATCTCCTGACTTGCCACAAGAATTATTCGTTCAAAACCATAATACATTCAAGAATTTCTAATCCTTGACAGGCAGCAATTTGTTCTCTTTTTTCCCAACTGGATGCCATTCTTACTGAAATTCTGCTATGTTTCTTGTAGAAGAATTCTTGCCGCCAGATATCACAACTCCCCTTCTTAGATAGTCCAAGTGGATGAGGAGAAATGATAGAAACTTTGGTAATCAAATGTGGCGAAACTTGGACTCGGCTACGATTTCTTCTCTTTCAAGTTCCTCTAAACATAGTGGAAAGCAACCCCTAGTGCATGGAATTCCACCCCAACCAGGATAAAACTTGAAAATATACGCCATTTTCCTTTTATTGGGATGGGTTATTTATAGGATAACCACTTTAAACAACACTTATGCTTCCTTATGACTAAAGAATTATTTTGATGGAAAGAAAGAAAACTAGGCCCTCTAATATTTAATTAATTATGAAAATGTCCCTCCTAATTCTTGCTGACCTCCATAGAAATCTCATAATCAATACAATTGAAAGATGCCAATTGACGGACATTGGATGTGACATTATGTAAATTGAGTTCAAATTACTTCAATCACAGTTAAGATCTACTTTAAGTGGCAATGCATTCACACAAACAACTAAATCTTGAAATATTTTCGTTCTCTATGTGCATATCTCCAGATAACTTTTAACTTAAATACAACATTTTGAAAATGTGGAAGTGCATCAAAAGACAAGAATGTTGCTCATGACCAAAATGTACAAGAAGATACAAAGGTTTTAGTGAACGGGTGCAATGAACCTACTCACAAGGCATACAAGACTCAAAAAGTAACCAAAATGTACAAGTATACCGCAAAAAAGCTAGAGACAATTTCGCCAAAAAGATAAAAATGGTCTGAGGACTACTCAGGAGGAGCATAATTCCACCAGAGAGCTTAATCATGATGAGTGGGCTTTTCTCTCTCCTTTGATCTAGAGAGGGAGTCGAGCACCGAACTGTGTTGGAGGCTTCCACCCGATTGTAAATTCCTGACTTCTGTTATTCCTTTTTTCATTTTCCGGGTTTTATAAACTTGTTAATTTTCTTCTAAGGGTTGTCCCAACTTATGACTGAGTTGATCATCAATGGGAGCAATTTCTACCTATTGATCACCTTGAACTTGGCATTACACCAGGGTTTAAGGGCCCTCAACATCAGCAATAATTGTGTCTATAACATATGGAGCATCATCAAACGCCAAAATGAGAGTATCCTCATTTTCAGCATCATGAGACTGCTTCAGGCAACGAGCTACGACACAATCCTATTTCGTCTTCTTCTAGCACATCGAGGCGACGAAGCTGCGCGACGTGAACCCCTACCCTTCTTCTAGCACAAGAAGGCGATGAACAGGCTACGATCCTGTTCCAATGTAAGGATGTCGAGGGCTGCTCGAGTCGCCATGGAGTTGCGACCGGAGACCCTTGCAGAGCAAAATCCATCGCGATATATATATATATATATATATATATATATATATATATATTAGAAAAGCTCAAAGGTGAATATATTAATAAAAGGAAAGATATAGATAGGTTGTATGAAAGGGCCCAAATTGACACTCTAACCACCCGACATACAACACACGTGTAGGAAATGCATGTAAACCCAGAAACCAAGATTAAAATATAGACATAGAAATTTTACGTCAAAAGTCTGCCAACATTCCCAGATTCAGTTAGCTTGCAAATGTTCCAATTTAGCATTGCCTCCGCCTCTTGTTCTAGGAAGGGAGTCAACTAACAAATTGTTAAGTTTGCTGCCATTACCAGAGGGTCGTCACTCAATATTAAGCTTTTTATTACAAAGAAAAATACTTTGAGCTATGTTTGAATGAAGGTTTCAATCAGCAGAATATCATAATCAGAAGGGTTCATTGTTAAAATAAAGCTTTCAATCACAAAGAAAAACAATTCATGCTTTTTTTCTTGTGATGCATGCAACTGCTACAATTCATGGTTGAAGGGACTGCAAATGTCAATGCTTTCTACTCGTGACAACCAAGTTATCTTTCTCCAATGATTAGTATGATTACTGTGAACTGTGACTAGTGGAGACACACATTCTAAATATTCTCTTGTGATTTTTATAAAATTTATTTTAGATTATATCATCGATTAGTCATTGTAAATCAAAACTTTTGGGAATTCTATGTATATCTAGCCTCTTTCTCTATCCCTTTATATATATATATATATATACAAATTCTACGAATTTTGTCGTAGCAGATGATAGCCGAAGTATCTTCGAACCACCTATTTCGAGAGAAGAGAGTACTCAAGTTATGGAGTGGTAGGATCAAGGTGTGTTGTAGGTTGAGTCAGATCAACAGTTTACCTCCATCGAAGATCCGCCTATTGTTCACACGGGACTACCTCTTGCAGATGATTGACAGATTTACAAATCTAGAAAGAAAAAGAAAGAAATGCCATATCTCAGCAAATATTAGGATGACTGTATCATTGTGTCGGGCAGAAGCCCACATCTCAGTTTGTTGCTGGACTCCCTCCCTAAATCCAGGGGAAGGGGAAGCGGTATATCCACCGACTACGCACACAATGATTGGGAGGAGTTTCTTTTTGTTTTTTTTTTTTTGGGAATACGTTTGTAATCCCTGTGAGTTAGGTTCTTTGTACCAAATCACTAAAACTTTTGTATCCTCTCTTTTTTATCAATGAATTTTGTATTTTCAAAATATATATATATATATATAAACTAGACAAGCAAACATATAAGAAAAGTAAAAAAATTACTTCAAGTAAAGTGCACTAAAGATACAAAATCAAAAAGTGATTTGCTTAACAGCCTCCTTTCAATACTATGCATTAATTTGCGAAGGAAGACATCTCTAATTTTGATAACAGCTAAAAAAAAAGCCAATGCCAATTCAAGTTTATCCATGCACTCTACTAGCTTTGTGTGCCCAGCACAGAACATTTTGGATTGTTAGTATCTATATAAGGTGGTTTATGCATTGTGTTAAATTCTTTGTTTGATCATAGATTGCAGTTATGTTAACATTTATTGATTGTTTCGCTTTTGTCTTCTAATCAAGTCTGGTGAATCTCAGGCATGGCTATGCTAGATGGATATATATTGTTGAGGATAAAGATATTGGTCTTGCAGAGATTGTTCGTCAAGAGTTAAATCTTCCTGTTACAAATGGACCTTTCGTTGGTGCGGCAAACCCAGCAACGGACAATGCAAACACAGGATACTCGGTAAATGTATGTGCTACAGGTGTTAAACTTGCTGAATTAACACTCGCTACATAACTTTTGCTGATTTTCATTGTTTTTCAGGGATCTTCAGAAATTCCTAAGGCAAAACAATCAAATCCAGATTATTCTATGCTTTATCAATTTAGGGAAGTACAGAGAAGAATTGTGGACTTCATACGAAAAAGATATCATCTTTTGGATAAAGCTATAAATGCAGAGCTACTACTAGAAAAAAATGTACGTCCTAAGTTGAGCTTACACTGATAAAAATCTACATATCTAAATGTTGAAGATTTCTCCATCTGATTTATCACCGACACTTCATTAGGACGACTTCAAATTTATGAAGTATTTATCTTATTTGTTTATACTGTATTGTGTTACCTAGAGGTATTCTAGCTAATAATTTATCCATATGTGAAATATTCCTCACTAGTCACTCCATTTCTCATGACTGTATATTTCCTGTTCCCTATTATTATTTTCTTTCCAACTGAAAACAGTTAATTCTGGAGAGACCTTAGATCACCGTGGACAGAGTGTATTGTTGCCTTTGCTATCTCAATTCTGGTGTCATAATAACATTATTCTTTTTTAATTAGAAAACAGTTAATTCTGGGCTCTGGAGTTGATTTCTATCACTGCTGACATGAAATATTATTTGATTTGCCCATTCCTCTTCTTTGACTAAGGGAGAAAAGTGATCTAAAATTGTCACTTCCTGCCAGAGGATTTTACAAGATTGTTATATTATGTGTCATGGTTAGATTGAATCGACAAAAATCCTGGAACTAGCATATGCTTTTGGAGCCTGCATGAATAAACACATCTTGTTTATATTGTCAGTGGAGTTTTTTCCCTGACCTTTGGTTCATTGTTTGCTTTTATGAGGAATTTAGTTAAGATGTCAAGTTGGAAATTGAAATGAATGAATGCCATCACGAAATGTAACATTTTTTCAAAAAGAATTACATTATCAATACCTTGGGGCAGCTACAATTAATACAACTTGTTGGAAAATTTTCACCTTGTGCAAAAAAATGTGTGGCTATTCTTGGCAAAGTTAGTACAATTTTTAAAGAAGGTTTACTCGAATAAATGGAGTGAGCCAAAAAGTGAATTTCTGAATAGTTTGTTATGTTCCCTTATATATGCTTGTGTTTTTTATTGTTTTGTTCTTTCATAATTTATTTTCTTGCTGTGTGGCAGTAGAGGGTCTTTCCAGAAAAGGGGATGGAATAATTAGTCAGAGATTGGTTGGTGCTTTACATTGGTTATGGTGGACAAAAAGAACATGTAGCTTCCCTGCTTTAATTTCAAAAATAAGTCATTGTCTTTCAGCTTGTATGCTATGAAGGTCTAACTTAACCGTCAGTCTTATCCTAAGAATGCATGTCAAGAAAAACTTAAAATTGTATTTATTTTACCTTGGTGGAACCCATATCATATAACTCTTCATGAAGATGTTGTATGTTGACATTGGAAACCTAGGCTTGTACAATTCTCTTGCTTAAATGTTTGAAAATAAGGTTTGATTCATAAGTGAAATGTTTTTGTGAAGTTCCAATTTATAATTGCACTACCTTTATAAACTTATAACATAATTATTGATTTATGGAGTAGCAACTGACAAGAATACGCAATGACAAAACTGGAAAGAGTATGATGCTTTATTTCATATAGTTAAACAAGAATAAGCAACGACAAAACTATACCCACTTTAGGCCGGATTGTGCGGTCTGATTCAACTTGCTCAAATCTGTGTTATTGGCAATACTTCCTGGCTATGATATATTCTGGGCCACGAATTGGTTTCACCTGTTCTCCACTCTAAATCAGCTTTTCCTCTGGCTGGGTCATCTTGGGTGTTTTCCTGAGTGTATTCTGGCTGTAAGATCTTGAGGTTGAACTCTGCTTGTAGATGTGGTGATCGTCTGATAATGTGGTCTCTCTACTTCTTATGCTTGGGTCTGAACATCTTGTCTGTAGTTAGCTGGTAGGAACTGGCGTTGCATCTTCCGCCTCATCTTAAACTAGGTAGTAATCTTATATTTTCCCTCATGCTGGCATATTGACTTCAGATTCTCATCTTGTTCTCTCCTTCGACTCTCTAGATCACGGCCGAGGGTAACCCTCCTTAGGTTCCATCATCCATCTCTGCAAGTCTTTGTTGGAGACGACGGAGCTCTTGTTGTATCTCTTCCCGGTTTGACTCAGACACGTATCTCCTTGGTGGCATGGCTTGAGTTTTCTGTTGGGAGGTGAAAGAGGGTGTATGAGATTAATTGAAGGCATAGAAAAATTAATTTGGGGTTTTTGATTGCGAAAATCAGTAAGGGGAAATTAGATTTAGGTCCAAAATTTAAATATGGTTTGGGAATTGGAAAGAAACTTTTTTTCTTTTTTTTTTTTTTTTTTTTTTTTTGCTATGGTTTGGGAATTGGAAAGAAACTTTTTTTTTTTTTTTTTTTTTTTTTTTTTTGGGGTGGGTGGCTTGGGTTGGGGTGGATGCTAGAAAATCCAATGATAGAACTAGGGATAGACTTGCTTTGATACCAAATGATACTGGAGTTAACTAAAAATTTTTAGGAATACTGATTTTATTAATCAAACAAAAAACAGATTACATTCACAAGCACAAACCAGGAAGAAAAGAAAACACAGATCCCACTAGGGCAGCAGGTGGCGTGGAGAGGATATGGCTTGAGATGGTGGTTGGCGATGGAAGTGGGGTGGGTAGGAGGTAGTAGGTGGGAGGAATAGGTGGCCGGTACGTTTGGGGGATAAGAAGGTGAAAGAGCAAGTTTAGGGTGGTTAGCTGGAGAGGCCGGCTTTGTGCAGATTATGGCAATACCATAGCAGGGAAAAGGGGAATAGGTGATTGGAGGCTGAAGGCGAGGATGGCGATTGCGGTAGAGGTGGTCTGGGATGTATGCGACAATAAAGGAAGGTGGGATTGTGGTTTGGATGACAGCAGGGAGAGGTTGTTGGGTGGTAGCGAGCAAGTGAGAGAGATAAGGCGTGGCGACAAGGAAATCAGGATGGACGGTGGTGCGGGTAAGATGGCAGCATGTAGGCAAAGGGATGATGCACATCGTTTTTGAATGAGTTATAGCCGATGTACCTTCTCGCCGTCGGATACAACCCTAAAAGGGAATAGTGGGATGTCAGGGGTTGTCCAAATAGAAATCTCAGCAAAATCTGTAGCCCTAGACAGTAGCATATATATTTATAATAAGTGAAATAGGTGGAGGGAGAAAGAGCGGCAGATCCTGCCCCTGCTGGACCAACCGGTCCGGCCCCCAACCCCGCATCAACTAGATATTTACATTATCTTTTATACTTAACAGGAATGTGATTTTCATATGCTGGTCGTTTATGTTGTTTTTTCCTATTTTCATTATTATTTTCCATTGTCATAAAGAGTGGACTTCGTCTTACTATTGCATTGGATATTTTTTCTAGGGTGGAGCTAAACTTTCTGAGACTGCTAATGATTCTGATGTTGATCGTAAGCCTACTGAAGTTCTTAGTCCAGAACCAACAGAGCCAAGCACTTTATCTAAAGAATTGCCAATTATGGAACCCATTGGTACACATTACTCATGTTTTTTTCTTACTTTTACTATTTGGTTCTAGTTATTGTTAAATGTTGATACTTATCATGTGGTTCTTACCTTTGAATGTGGAGTTCACCATATATTTTGCTTAGGGGACTATATGATATGGGCTCATTTATTAGATAAGAGACCTACTTGGCTGCCAACCAAGGCTCTCCATTGGAGTCCTTTAGTGTTGTTTTCAAATAATTTGAATTTGATTTTTTGTGTCAGCTGCCATGTTCTTCATCATGATCTGCCAATCCGATTACTGCAGTTAAAAAATGCTTGAGAAAAGTTAATTTATCCACATGAAACGCATAAGAAAAGAGCAACAAAATAGAACCTGCTTCTGCATAAAGTTAATGTAACAACTATCTAATAATCTATCCTAGGCAGATTGAATAAAACTGAAGGTATATTTGGCTCGAATGCTAAATTTCAGGTATTGGTATGATCCTTGTTTTAAGAGTTGAGATTTTCCAAGCCTTTGTTCTTTAAGATGCAGTAATCATAGCAACATGTGATTACACCATTTTTTTAAATTTTAAAATTCTGTTGCTTTCACTTTTTCACTTTAAACTTTAATTAAAAAAATGAATAATTTAATCTATAATGTATTCGAAACTTGGAAAGTGCTATATAAGTTTTGTACGAGTTTTGTGGGCTCTAAAGGTTTCACCTTGCTCTATTCATATATTTAAGAATTTCAGTATCTTTTAGAAGGCGTATTTGGTTTCTGGATAAGATAGTACATAGACATTTTAACTTCTAATTAAAATTATGATTTAATCTAATTAGAGGTTTACCGTAGCTATAAGTCTCTATAGTAAATGATATATTTGATCAGGAGAGAGAACTTCTGGATATAGATCTATGGGCTCAACAATGCAAAAGTTTAATTAGAGTGTTTTTTTTTTCCAACACATGTTTATGTCTAATTAACTTCAACATTCAAACTGATTATGAATTTGAAGATTCATTACCCCTCCATAAACATCTATGGTATCATAAGTGAGCTTCATCTTTATATTTTGATAGTTATCTAGTTCGAGTCAAAAACTCTTCATTGATTCTATCAATTTTGAGACAGTGGGCATCCTGTTTTGTTATTGATATCCTCATTTTTAGTTTCATTGATCTAGGCATCATCTTGAATGTTGGAATGGGTTTGATGGATGACTTGCTACATTTTCTGGCAATTGTTAAAACTATGCAACTTTCACTAATTTTTGGTTGCGTAAAATTCCATAATCATTGTATGATCATGCAGTCTTCCTCAACCAATGTACTAAACTTTATATTTGCTAGATGCCGCCCAATTTCAATCAAGTCACATAGCTTAACTCTCCAATTTTTAAAATATCTTCACAATGTCTGATCATTGGAGATGGTATCCTTTGTTTAAATGATGTGCAAACTTTTGTAGCTTCCTATTTGATAGTGAGGATTCCTGAACTGAAGAGGAAACAAAGACGAAGCTAAATTACACTGAATAGAGAGCACAACGTGGAGACAAGATATAAGGAATGAATATCAGCAAACAATAGCTGTAGCGCAAAAATGACTAGATCTACAATAGAATGAGGAAGTAATTCCTTTTTTTATTTTTTCTTGTATTGCTGATGCCCTATACAAGGAGAAAGATATAAGAAAGGGAGGATTTTATTCTTAATGAAATACAAATAAAGTAAGAAAGAAATAACCACGCTCTAATATGCATTTGTAATTTTGTAAAGCCAAGGAAATTATTTATATGTTAAATTTTGAACTTTTTCACGAGGGAATTCAATGCATGTAAACAAAGATTTCTTGGATACCATTATAGGTTCCTTAGATTGTCTTCTTGGTTTGCTATCATGAATTCTTGGATTGCCATCAGTTTTTATGTCATCAAATATTCATTGGGTTCCTAAACTAATTGTTAGGGAACCTTACAATCTTTTAAGTAGCTTATTTAATAGTGATAAACTTATTTGTTTTTGCTCATTAATTTGCTTATACATGTTCAAGTAGTGCGATAGTGGTCATTTATTGCTTGAAGTAGCTTATTTAGTAACTTTTTATAATACTTTGTAACAATCTTTTTCATGCAATGCACTAATGAGATGTATTAGTAAAGATATTAGTACGATGGAAGCTTAAATTGAACGATTATTTGATTGTTTCATTCAATGTCAATATCATTGCACTCTATTTATGCCGTTTGATATTTATTATTAAGGTTACAAATAGGGAATTAATTGTGCAGAACAAATGGTTGTAAAATTAAACAATTTTATATTTGTTTTTTATCTGACAGATCTGTAAATTAAGGGGAAAAAAATCGAACTGAAAATATTTTTGTTAAAATTTATGTACGGATTGAAATAAATCTTTTACATCTTACATGAATTTACTTAGCTTAATTAAAGCTCTTTTTTGTTCTAATTTTCTAAAAAGCAAATGGAACTTTGACAAGATTTTCCGACTTAATCATTTTCAAGCTCAGCCACACTATAAGGGCGTGCATGTAAATGAGTATGTTACTAACAAGATAGTCTTTAGCTTGTCCGCTTGCTTACATCAGTAATTTCATGATAAGAATTCCCACAATTAGTTTCCATATCTACTGCATACACCCTTGAAGTTTACTTGTCTTTGTAACCTGGTTACGGTAAAAATATTTTCTGAACATTGTGCTCGCTTTCCAAATGTAAGGATTAAGTTGCAGTAATGCCGTAAATGATAGAAGCGAGCTTTTATTTGATTGGAAAAGAAAAAGGAAAAAATAAGTGCTTTGCCCATATTTTACATAGTTTGTGATTGGTAATTCGATAGAAAGTACTCCTTTTATAAATATATATATAGTTATGTTATTGTTGACCTCATTTTTGTGAGGTCTTTTCTTCTTCTCCTTATGAGCCTAGGATCTAGCTCTAGGAGTTCCTATTGACCATCTTAGAAAACTAGAATTGAGACCCACACTTTTAGTAATTCTAACCACTTCCTATTTTCCTTTGATGTCTAGCATTTATGGCACAAGACCATCGTCTTACGAACGAGCGGTTATCGAACGAGCGGTCGAACGAGCGGTTATGGGCTATTTTGTGAAAACTCAGGAGAAAAGTTCCCAATAGGACTCTAAGCCTTAGGAAAACATTCGTCACGACTTTTTCGTCCCAAGCCTTAGAAAAACATTCGTCACGACTTTTTCGTCACATACACACAAAAAATGCACATAATTCAATGAATTGCACGAAATCGGACTTCAATTAAGCCTAAAGGACGGGTGAGAATGCGAACTTCTCCGGATGACCTCCGACGACAAAATGGACTGCGCCAACGCGTCCGGGATACCTATTTTGGTAGGAAATGACACCCATATTGTCATATTTTCGGCACGAGAAAATTGACATGCAAATCGATGAATTCGTCAAAACGACCTCTGACGGCAAAAGAGACAGTGCCGATGCGTCCGGAATGTCGAAATTACCTAGGAAGACACCTATTTTGCTTAGGGCGCCGCACATGAATAAATCGCATGAAATTTGATATATATATATATATATATACATACATACATACATACATAC